GATATTCTACAAAATAATTAAAATTGGCTTGTTTCGATTTTCTTTATGAATCACTTTGACGCCCTATTCATGAGTAGGCCTAACAAACTCGACAACGGCTAAAAAATGCTTCACCTATTTTCGTGTAGGCCTACAATGTTTGATCTATAAATAAGCCGACAAAAACACGTTGTATGGATAACCAGTGATATAATTTACAACTCCGAGTATTTATCTTTAATATCAATTCATTATAACTAATGACAATTCCTTCAAAGAAAAATGGTTTAAAAAAAAAATAGCGATGCCATCGTAATACGCCCACATTTGTAATGGCAGCTAATTTGTCCGGGAGGTTGACAAGAGTTATCAGTAAATTAATGTTTTTGAGAGTGAAATTTTCATATTTCTTAGGTTTTGTTTACAGCTTTTTATTCAATTGGGATTAATTTAACATGTCAAGTTTCATTAAATTTTAATCCATATAGAATTGAATCTTTTGAGTGGCAGCAAGTGGCAAATCTTTGTGTTTAGACAGTTATATATTTTCGGACAGACAGACAGATAGACAGACGGACAGACAGACAGACAGAAAGGGGCGACGGCTATATAGAGTTTATCCTTGGATGATAACAAACACTCACACCAAGTTTCGTAAAAATCCATCAAGAAACCAGCTCTCTATCGTGTCCACAAACAATTCAAGAACAAGGGCAATAACTCATAGTAAATATTTTTCGATTCGTCTGATTTTCAATAGGGTTCATCCTTAGATGATTACAAACACTCACACCAAGTTTCGTCAAAATCCATCACGAAACCAGCTCTATATCATGTCCACAAACAATTCAAGAACAAGAGCAATAACTCATAGTAAATATTTTTCGATTCGTCTGATTTTCAATAGGGTCCATCCTTGGGTGATTAAAAACACTCACACTAAGTTTCGTCAAAATCCATCAAGAAACCAGCTCTCTATCGTGTCCACAACAATTCAAGAACAAGGGCAATAACTCATAGTAAATATTTTTCGATTCGTATGATTTTCATTGGAGTTCATCCTTGGGTGATTACAAACACCCACACCAAGTTTCGTCAAAATCCATTAAGAAACCAGCTCTCTATCGTGTCCACAAACAATTCAAGAACAAGGGCAATAACTCATAGTAAATATTTTTCGATTCGTCTGATTTTCAATAGAGTTCATCCTTGGGTGATTACAAGCACTCACACCAAGTTTCGTCAAAATCCATCAAAAAACCATCTCTCTATCGTGTCCACAAACAATTCAAGAACAAAGGCAATAACTCATAGTAAATATTTTTTGATTCGTCTGATTTTCAATAGGGTTCATCCTTGGGTGATTACAAACACTCACACCAAGTTTCGTAAAAATCCATCAAGAAACCAGCTCTCTATCGTGTCAAAAAAAATTCAAGAACAAGGGCAATAATTCATAGTAAATATTTTCCGATTCATCTGATTTCAATAGGGTTCATCCTTGGGTGATTACAAACACTCACACCAAGTTTCGTCAAAATCCATCAAGAAACCAGCTCTCTATCGTGTCCACAAACAATTCAAGAACAAGGACAATAACTCATAGTAAATATTTTTCGATTCGTCTGATTTTCAATAGGGTTCATCCTTGGGTGATTACAAACACTCACACCAAGTTTCATCAAAATCAATCAAGAAACCAGCTCACTATCGTGTCCACACTCTATCGTGTCCACAAACAATTCAAGAACAAGGGCAATAACTCATAGTAAATATTTTTCAATTCGTCTGATTTTCAATAGGCAAACAAACACTCACACCAAGTTTCGTCAAAATCCATCAAGAAACCAGCTCTCTATCGTGTCCACAAACAATTCAAGAACAAGGGCAATAACTCATAGTAAATATTTTTCGATTCGACTGATTTACAATAGGGTTCATTCTTGGGTGATTACAAACACTCACACCAAGTTTCGTTAAAATCCCTCAAGAAAACAACTCTCTATCGTGTTCACAAACAATTCAAGAACAAGGGCATAACCCATAGTAAATATTTTTCAATTCGTCTGATTTTCAATAGGGTTCATCCTTGGGTGATTAAAAACACTCACACTAAGTTTCGTCAAAATCCATTAAGAAACCATCTCTCTATCGTGTCCACAAACAATTAAAGAACAAAGGTAAATATTTTTCGATTCGTCTGATTTTCAATAGGGTTCATCCTTGGGTGATTACAAACACTCACACCAAGTTTTGTCAAAATCCATCAAGAAACCAGCTCTCTATCGTGTCCACAAACAATTCAAGAACAAGGGCAATAACTCATAGTAAATATTTTTCGATTCGTCTGATTTTCGATAGGGTTCATCCTTAGATGATTACAAACACTCACACCAAGTTTCGTCAAAATGCATCAAGAAACCAGCTCTCTATCGTGTCCACAAACAATTCAAGAACAAGGGCAATAACTCAAAGTACATTTTTTTCGATTCGTCTGATTTTCAATAGGGTTCATCCTTGGGTGATTACAAACACTCACACCTAGTTTCGTCAAAATCCAGTAAGAAACCAACTCTCTATCGTGTCCACAAACAATTCAAGAACAAGGGCAACAACTCATAGTAAATATTTTTCGATTCGTCTGATTTTCAATAGGGTTCATCATTGGGTGATTACAAACACTCACACCAAGTTTCGTCAAAATCTATCAAGAAACCAGCTCTCTATCGTGTCAAAAAAAAATTCAAGAACAAGGGCAATAATTAATAGTAAATATTTTCCGATTCATCTGATTTCAATAGGGTTCATCCTTGGGTGATTACAAACACTCACACCAAGTTTCGTCAAAATCCAGTAAGAAACCAACTCTCTATCGTGTCCACAAACAATACAAGAACAAGGGCAATAACTCATAGTAAATATTTTTCGATTCGTCTGATTTTCAATATGGTTCATCCTTGGGTGATAAAAAACACTCACACCAAGTTTCGTCGATTCTCGTGATCTCAGGTACATCTACCCCCGACCCCTCCTTGCTAAAACGCTATTGTCTATATCAGAAACTTTTATAAGGAAATATGGGTTCAGGTCCACTGGCGGTGCAATGTATCTGACGGAGAACCATCAGTTATCATTTTTTTATTTTTAATCTATCACTATATATTATTCATTTTTTTTTAGATATTCATCTTAATAAACATGTTTATAGTATCATTAATAATATTGTTTGTTGTTTGCATTCAACTTGATTTGAACTTTTCACCTGAAGTGTTCTCACCGGATAGGTATATAGATTCTTCATTTAGATTTTCTTACGTGCGACTCGTTTAGCAACAGTATATCATCAAAATAATTCCAACATAACGCAACGTCTAAACCTCTATTCCATTGACCATTGTCTTTCAATTAGAAATTCGACGAGGGTTTGGTAGATAGAAAAGTCCATTGACCATTGATATCTTACATGGATATTTGGTTGACCACTGATATCTGACATAGATATTTGGTTGACAAATGATATTTGACATAGATATTTGGTTGACCAATGATATCTGACATGTATGTTTGGTTGATCCTTAACATCTTACATGGATGTTTGTTGAAAAGTGATATCTGACATGCATGTTTTGTCGACCAGTGATATCGGACTTGGATATTTGGTTGATAAGTAAATAAACGGGTGACAGGACAGTGGTGTCTGACATGGTTGTTTGATTGACCGGTGCCTTCAGTGACTGTTGCCCCTTGATATCTTAAATAGATATTTGGTTGACCAATGATATCTGACTGAGTGTTTTGTTGACCAGTGATATCTGACATGGATGTTGTGTTGACCCTCGATATCTTACATGGATATTTGGTTGACCAGTGATATCTGACATGGATGTTTTTGTTGACAGATGATATCTGACATGGTTGTTTTGTTGACTATTGATATCGAACATGGATGTTTTGTTAACTACTGGTATCTGACAGGTTTTTTTGTTAACCGGTGATATCTGACAGTGTTATTTAGTTGACCAGTGGTATCTGAAATGGATGTTTTTTTGACCAGTGAGATCTGACATGAATGTTTGTTGACAAGTGAAATCTGACATGATTGTTTAGTTGACCAGTGGTATCCGAAATGGATGTTTTGTTGACCAGTGGTATCAGACATAATGTTTTGTTGACCAGTGATGGCAGACATGAATGCTTGTTGACCAGTATGGATGTTTTTGTTGACCTATGATATCTGGCACGGTGCTTGTTGACCACTGATATCTGACATGGATGTTTTGTTGACCAGTAATATCTGGCATGGATGTTTTTGTTGACCTGTGATATCTGGCATAGATGCTGGTTGACCAGTGATATCTGACATGGATGTTTTGCTGACCAGTGGTATATGAGATATATTGACACTTGATGTTTTACATGGATATTTGGTTGACCAGTGATATCTGACATTGATATTTTATTGACTTGTTATATCTGACATGGATTTTTGTTGACTAGTGATATCTGACATGGACGTTTTGCTGACCAGTGGTATCTGACATTGATATTTTGTTGACTTCTTGTATCTGACATGAATGTTTGCCTGATCACAAGACTTTTATGCAACGAAATTTGTTCTTAGATTGGCATAGAATTTTTTATAATCAACTTTGCAGTAACAATTTTGAAAAAGATTCAGCCCCATTATTGTTTAGTCATATTTTTTATCATTACAAAAATTAAATTGAAGTCAGTTATTAAAATAGGAAAGGATGATTTGGTTTTATGTCTTTTTTCTTCCAAGGTGAAACTGCACGCGTCAATAAAAAAAATCACTATCAACTATTAAGAAAACTTGTGGTTGAAGGTGGGGATTTTATCAAGTTTGTAAAGACAATTAGAATATTTATATTAAATTGAGAGTAAGGTTGAAATGGTTTAGATGACATTAAACTGAAAGGATTATGCAGCAAGTAAAACAAGTTGAAATGATATATGAGTGACAGAAAGATTAATGATAGACGGCGCTTTTCTCCTGGTGACAGTTTAACTTACATATCTATACTAAACTTACATTGTTCACTAAACGTACTCTTTATATTTCGCTATTAAACTGACCAAAATGGGCGCATGGCGATTTTTGCTCGTCACTTGTTTGCCATTTGTGGTTTATTGTCATAATCATGGGTGAGTTATATTTTTCTTATCATTTTAAAATGTTTGATTTTCAGTTACTTCAATTTTGATAAAATGATGAAATACACAATTTAAGACTAAAGAGTTACTTAAATTGTTTATGTTTAAAAGTCTTGAATGATGTCTTAAATTTTTGACTATTTTTAATTGATATTTTTCATGTTGAAATTGCCTTATTTCGATTTTGAGATGAAAGGCAATATCTAATATTAAAAAATTGACAAGGCCTTAGAGTAGCGACAAACAAACTTCATTGGTTTCCTTTTTTGGACTATGTATTTTGAATCCACTCAACTCCCCTTTACATTTTAACATAGATTGTAAGTATATAACAATTTGCACGTTCATTTGACCTATATATAAATCTAAATAAACTTTTATCTAATCAAAAAATAGCATTATCAATTCAAAAACAGTTAAGCTGTAAGATAAAGCTCTTCCACTTAGGTTAATTGAACGTGTGTTTTTTAGTATCGACAGTCCAAGTTAATTGGGATCTCAATTGTGTATTAAACTGAATGTAACATGCTTTTAGACTATATAATTGTACTACAATAATGTAAACACCTTTCTTTAACTATTGTTTCCTTTCCTTGTATTATATTCATGTACAAAATTTTCCTTGTTTTATGTTTTCTCCTAATTTGTCTTAAGATTGAGGTCAAATGTCACAGAAAGCGAATTTACTGTTGTGTTGTATGTAAATGAAAGCTGTAATGAATTGAAATGTATTTACATGCGGTTACTTCAACAGACAGGCTTGGGTGAAAAACAAAATTGAAAAAAAGACCAGAAAGATTCAGAAAGAAAGTAAAAGAAAAATCCTCACAAATGGGTTTTTAATTAAAAATCATACAAAAACTAAAACTAATTACGTGATTATAAAATGTATAACACACAAAAGGAAGGGTAGTAAAAAGAGCACACACCCGGGAAAACAAGGTGGATTTTGTGTCAATTGTTTTATTGAGTCGTAAGGTGAAGAAAAAAAAAGCAAAATAAAAAGGTGAAGAAAAATGCAATATAATTTTATAATGACTGATAAGTCAATCCATCAGTCACATCCACACAGACAATGTATCATATTTTGAGGATTCAGTTCAAATCGTGTCATTCGGTGAAACATAATTTGCTCTTGGCTATTTGCGTTCTTAGTGCTTAAAATAGTTTATTATCGTTTCGTTTGATTACATTTTGCACACAAGTTGTTAATTTTCTTTAATTTTTGCTGTAGTTTGTAGTACATTCTTTATAAAACATTCATCCTTTATGATCTGCTTAACTGATGATTCTGTTTTACAAACTTTGCTTTGTTGAGATTTTTTTTTCTTCCTTGCTCAGTTGCATTACTAAGATAGATGACATCTATCTTTGTACATAGAATTTATTTCAATAGACATTACTCTTATGCATGGTGACAATTTTAACTTAGGCTGATGTCTGTTCTATAAAAGGCAGACCAAACTATGTTTGCGAACAAATGCATCCTATATTGTGGTATTTATTTGCACATTGAGACTTATGTTAAGGATCCTAATTTCCCTCGATTACATTCTGAAAATAAAAGTGGCAAACACGAAGAAGCATGACAACGTATGAAAAGGAACACAGATCACATTCATGAAGTCCGTAATAAATAATATTTAGATGACAATTATGGTTTAAATTTTGCATTAAAATGTTTTGTTGCTGTCACTATAATACGTCATGTCATTAAAAAGTGTAAAGGAGTAGTAGGCCACATCTCAGCTGAGACATGGTGTGCTATATTCCCACCCTGAGAGAAAAACACCGAAAAATGAAACGGAATTAGCCAAACAACCTGACCTAAACAATTATAATATACTTTTATTTCTATTCTTACTATCAATCAAAATGACAGGTTTATTCTTTATATAACTATGTTACCGTGCCCTATATCTTGTTAAGATAACATGGAAATTCATAACAAATACTGGTTACCTTAATGTACTCATCAACCATGGGTAATAATTTAAGGAAAATTCAAAATTCCTTCAAAACTTAATCAAAACAGCGGTCGCTTCCGCGAGTAAAAAACTTTGAGCTATTACTAAGAACAAATCTTTGAACGACCCAAGATCCAATTACAGTGCCCGAAAATAAATGTAATACATGGTTCCTACCTTGAAAGAAATATTTCAGTTGAGACATAATTATGATTTTAGGGTATTTCATCAAGATAACCACCAGATTGGACGGAACCAGGAACCTATAGTGACCCCTGAATATCAAATCCCATCCTTCCCTCATGACGGAAGACGATGTGTTTCTTTTGCTCGGCAAACAAAAGTAGTGGACATCCAACTGCCTTATCTGTGTTTACCAGGAAAACCAGGAGGGGTACCAATTCCACAGAGAAATGACAAACAAACAGCAACAACCTTATTAGCTATGTACTGGTGAGTATGAACTGTCTAACATAAAGTGGTAATATTATATAGTAGTGAAATTGTATCTAAACTGCAAGTAGTATGCGTCTAAAGGAGATGGTCTGGTGTTTGGCCGAAGCACAATAAAAAATTGAATTTATAAGAATTCTGACTTGTGTTTCAAAAGTGAATCATATCATATACTTACAGGAATGGTTGGAGAGTTTGCAAACATGAAGTTAAAATGCCGATGAACAACTATGTGAAAGTGTCGACGTGCTGTCCTGGATGGGAAGCAGGACCTACTGGAGATTGTACACTTCGTAAGTAATTCTGATTGAAATGGTATAAGGTTAAACATCGTTTGAATGATACATTGCAATGCCTTTACTGATATTTGGCTTTATTACAGGCAAACAAGAACCATCATTCCACAGTCCGTGTAAAAATGGTGGTTTCCTTGCTCCAGATTCTCGTGTACCAAGGTGTGTGTGCCCACCAGGTTTCAAAGGGCTTTTATGTCAAACTCCTTGCCCAATGGCATTAAACAGACTTGTGGCAGGACGACTCAGCAATTCACCATTTATGAAGCATATCCTTCCAAGAATGAGAAATCTTATCAACATCCAAACCAAAAACCTTATGAGAGGTTTAGGACCACGAAATATACCCTTGGGTAATCCATACATGCCGACTATGATGAGAAGAACAAATCCATTCAGTGTGCCCGGAATTATGGGCGCCTCCATGTCTAAACCAATGACACTATTAAATATCATGGCAATGAAAGAATTATTAAAACCAAGAAGGAAATCGGTCATGAGGATTAGCAAAATTATACCGCTTGGTGTGATGAGCAAACCTGTTATAAATCAACAAACACCACAGACATCGGATACCACAGACAAGTCAAATCCAATGTACAGAGTAAACATTCTTGACAACTCGCTTCCAAATCAAAACCAAAATCTAAATCAAGAAGATATACCGCAGCATCAGGAAACCCACCCAGCAACTCAACCACAGCCGGTTAATGTGCATTCATTACCTCCTCAATACACACCTCAAGAATTCCCACAACCAACCCAACAACAAATACCAAACTTTAATGATAAACATGTAAATGGGGGTAAGTGTCAGTCAAAATTTCAGTTATACTAACTGAGATAGAACCATATACCTGTAGCTTACGTGTCGAAGTGACGGCAAATAATAAAAGGCGAATAATAATTTCACAAGTAAAGCAGAAGAACAACTGAACTTTAATACCATTTGGTACAAGTATTGTCATTTCTATAGGTTGTTTTGTTGATCATCCAGGTGGTGTGTATACATAGCTTTGCACATATAGTCAGATACAGTCTAAACTATATTCCTTGAACCATTAATTAACTAAGGGAATGGTATTTTGTACTTTAGAAACAAGCTGTAAAGATATCTTAAAAATGGGGATAACTCGTTGTGTTCAAGAAGCTGGCATTGACGCCCTACCAGAAGATATATTTGAATCTACAAGCCCTCAAAATGAAGCAGTAGTACAACAAATATGTTCGTAAGTATCACGTTCTAAAATGTATATTCTTTATTGGGGTAGGAATATATTACACGTTTGATTAATTTGCATTTCGTATATATGCTGTAAGGAAGGACCACTTTGTATCCCTAGCGTAGCCAATACATCAAAGAACCATTGTTTATTCCTCTTTTCATTATTTCAGATTACGGGGTAATCAGCTATCATCTTGTATAATGGCTGGACAAAATGCTTGTGGAAATGGAATACAAATAAGTATAACACGTAGAATGCTCTTGGAATTTATCTCCAGTGTAGGACAAAAGTGTAACCAACCATGTAAGTAAAAACTTTGAGTTTGTTTTTGTATTATTCAATCATGCACTTTCAAAATTGTATTCCGTTCAGTCTGTCTCTCAATTTTACAATGTACTCGAATTCAGTTACTTTGTCTTTTCATTTCAGCTAATCCAATACCGCCTGTCGTCAACTTAGCAAGTCCACAAACCTTTGACATCAATAGAATGGGACCAATGTATCCATATGTAACACCACACGCTTCCATGGTTCCTTTACCACCAGCAAGTCTAAGATCATTTATTGGGAAAAATCCATTCCTACCCTTACAACAAAATAGAATTATGCCAGTTCCACCAATTGGACATTCTGAACCACCTGTAGGTCAACATGTTCCAATAAGACAGCCTGCTACTAACCTAGGGCAATCTGTACCTCCTATGGAAGAACCTATACAAACAATTGAATGTTTTAACAATGGATATGCTGTTATGGATAACGGTCAACAAGTATGTGAATGTCCAGAAGACTTCTCAGGTGACAATTGTGAAATAGGTAAGTTTTATCATATGGAAAATTAAATTGAAAATATACAAAACTGAATTGCCAAAATCGGTGAGTGCATTTTCCTCCTTGAATCCAGTCTTTATTTAGCCCACATGTTGCAGATAAAAAGGACGTAAAGCTCCATTCATTTCACCTCCTTGAAGCATAAATAACACATAATCTAACATATATGCTGCAAATTGCAAGAAATTCCCTGATGTTAGCAATAGGCTACATTTGTTTTCAGCTGTCTGTGAATCAGAATGTATGAATGGGGGTAATTGTGAAGCTGTTGCTGGTACTACAATGTGTATCTGTGCTGAAGGTTTTATCGGATTACAATGTGAAGAAGGTAACATTACATTATATAAATCACTTATAATATATTAGAAATAAGATCGCAAGGGCATAGACTGCTTGAAGATGAATAGGGTTTTTCATTCACAAAATTGAATGCGGTTTTTTCTGTATCCAACTTTCCGGCAAAAAAAAAATCAGAATTCCTTGCAGTGATCTTGTACCTTGCAATGAAAGATTTTGAATCCGACCTATATTTGGCTTTTATAGCTGAATTTATGAGGTATATATAAGAACAATTTAAAATTCTAGTCTTAAAAAGGATTATTATATTACAGCTGAACCAGAGTTGACTGAAGCAGATATCACAGGTACTTTATTTTTTTTAATATACGTGTATTTTCATTAAATGTAAGCAAGTAATTCTTTAAACGTTAAAATATCCACTTGGAATACTTTAGATTGAATAATAAAAGATATGTCTACATTTTTCTTACAGCCCTAGTAGATGATAGTGTATTGGCCCAAGACACAAGTGTAACAGGTAGGTAATAACTAATAATTGAGACACATCACATAATACTATTCTCACCAAAGAAAGCTATTCTCGACGCAAGTCGTTTCAACCCGACATAAAACATGAAAGTCATGTTCGCACCCATACGATGCAATTTCAGTACCAATTAGCATCACAATTATCTATATTTCAGGACCTGAAGATGTTTCTCAAAAAGTTATTGATAGTTACCCCATTCCTCACTTACCAAAAGAATCTCCCGAAGGCTTCCTCACTACAGCAAGACCATTGCCAGTTGAAGAGAAAGTGGCAGAAATGCCCCAACAAGAATCTCTTAAGCCAATCGAATCAAAAGAAGTAAAAAAATTAAATCAAGAAGATAATTCAGAAGCAGTGAAGACTGAGATTCTGAAAGCTGATGAGGATTTCAACTTCGATGACTATCCATTATGGATGATACTTTCTGTATCATTTGGAGCACTATTATTGGTCCTTTTATTGACCACTTGTGTCTGTATGTGTGTTAAGAGACGTTCAAGAAGAGTTGTCACTGTAACAACTAAAGCAGCTGCCCTTCCTGAGAAGTCTCCAGTAAAAGACAACATTTATGTTGTTGGAATACCACCGCCTGTTTATGAGGTAAAGGGAATTCCACCGCTTTCTTATGAAGAAGCAAAGGGGGAAGTCATTAATGGGGATAAAACAAACGATTTCGAAGAAGATGTTGAAAAAGGAGGCAAAAATGAATCTGAACAAGATGATAGTCCAAGAGTTAATGTTATGAGCGAAGTTACCAGAATCTAAGGCGTTTGTGACATCATGTCACTGCCTAGAACCTACTTGTAGTTACTAGTTAAATAATTCAAATATAGTCTTATATCACTGTACATACTGTACATAAAAAAAAAACATGTTTTGATACATTTTATAGCCCACAATAAACATATAGCAAAAACAACAGCATCAAAACCTTTTAACATAAATTGGGTGGTAATTATGTTATTTTAATTATTTCATTACAGGACTAGCCTTTATATACTTTCATCACAGAGGTATTCTGTCAACTATCATTAACAGCAATATTTTCTCAAACCTCCTTATCTACTCAGTACAAAATAAATCGTTTCTTTGAATGGTTTTTTAATTGAGAATAGAGCTGTTGACCCACGAAAAGATTGATTTGCATAGAATCTGATCAAAGGGAAATATTTGATTGTGATATTATAATCATTACTTTGTCAGACAAGCTACCTTAGAGGTTTCCTATAGTCTGTTTAGGTAAACCAAGTAGAAGATTTTGGTACGATGAAGAATACAGTTTAGAAATGCAAATATTACCACAGTCTAACATATTGAATTGAAAACTTAATAGATATGGCTAATGCACTTAAGATCTGCTTATTTACAACATTTGATCTCTCATTAGGATACTGGCAATTACATTTTCTAGAAACCTTAACTTGCTTAATTATCAACAGCCTCCCCATGTCAGCCTGGCAACATGATCTGTCTTCCTTTTAGTTGGTTTTATAAACCCTAGAAACTGTAGTTCAGAAACAGCTCTTATAAAACGTGCTCTGAAATCAGTTAAGAAAAATTTTAATTGAACTTTAATCATCCTTAACAGCTTTTAGCACATTAAGAAATAATTTACAAATAATGTCCAAATTCATCCTGTTTAAAACGAACATTATTTTCAAATACAGAAAGATAGCTTGCGATGCGAGATAACATACGCCCACTGGCAGCTGTCAGAAATAATAAAACAGTCTTTAGTGACTAAAGTACTAATTTTCTCATATTGAAGAAATTATTTATGCTGACTAATTACACAAAATTTTTTAAAATCAATATCAATAACCCAAATACAACAAACAATTAAATCACACACCACTAATCAAGGGCAAAAAACAACTTTTGACACGTGTTTACAAAGTCAAGGGCAATAACTCAAAAAATGTTCATCAAAAATATCCCTTGTTACAACTTGTCCGAGATCTTATCAATTCCAATGATCACACCAAGTTTCATCAGAATCGGTTAAAACTGTAGCTTCTATTGTGCTCACGAACAAATTTTGAAGCGTTTTTACAAAGACAAGGGCAATAACTCAAAAACCGTTCATCAAAAATGCGTCAAGGTATAACTTGTCCGAGATCTTATCAATTCCAATGATCACACCAAGTTTCATCAGAATCGGTTGAAAACTGTAGCTTCAATCCTGCTCACGAACTATTTTTAACAAATTTTGACGCGATTTAACAAAGTCAAGGACAATAACTCAAAAACCGTTCATCGAAAATGCGTCAAGTTAGAAATTGTCCAAGATCTTATCAATTCCAATGATCACACCAAGTTTCATCAGAATCGGATGAAAACTGTAGCTTCAATCCTGCTCACAAACAATTTTTAACAAATTTCAAGGCGTTCTAAGTCAAGGGCAATATCTCAAAAACCGTTCATCGAAAATATGTCAAATTTGAACTTGGCCGAGATCTTATCAATCTGAAGCATCACACCAAGTTTTATCAAAATCAGATAAAAACTGAAGTCTCTATAGTGCTCACAAGAAATGTTGACGGATGGACGGACCGACCGACGGACAGGGGCGCCAACAATATACGACCACATATTCATGTGGGCATATAAAAAGTGGACAGACATGTCTTACTCATTAGTCTGAAAAGATTCATATCATAATATTTGCATAAACTTTGATGTGAAAATATATAAATAACTTGAAACAAAATTTACATTAAAAGGATACTGTAGAATTTGATCTGGCTTTTTACTTTTGGCATCATTTTCTTCATCTTCACTAGTAACCACTGTCATAAATGCCTGCAGAAAAAACATGGAAAAAGATAATTTGCACAAATTTTCATAAGACTTTGAATTCACTTACAGAATCATGTCTATTTATGATAAAATTACAAATATACATACTTGTAACCAATCGTACAGATTTATAAGTTGTCCACATTCTAAATGTAATTTATATACAATACAAACATCAGGCATTGTTGGTAATATAGAGTTAGGATCTCCCTCACAACATTTACACTGTAATAAAATAATGTAATGAATTAGATAAAATACCGTTTTGGGTCAGGTATTTGATTTCTCAATTAATCAGAATATAATTAGCACTAGTACGACTGTAAGTCTACTTATCAGAATAAAATTAATACTAGTACAACTATAAGTCTACTTATCAGAATATAATTAATACTAGTACAACTATAAGTCTACTTATCAGAATATAATTAATACTAGTACAACTATAAGTCTACTTATTAGAATATAATTAATACTAGTACAACTATAAGTCTAATTATTAGAATATAATTAATACTAGTACAATTATAAGTCTACTTATCAGAATATAATTAATACTAGTACAACTATAAGTCTACTTATCAGAATATAATTAATACTAGTATACCTATAAATCTAATTATCAGAATATAATTAGTATTAGTACAATTATTAGTCTAATTATCAGAATATAATTAGTACTAGTACAACTATTAGTCTAATTATCAGTATATAATTAGTATTAGTACAACTATTAGTCTAATTATCAGAATATAATTAATACTAGTACAACTATAAGTCTAATTATCAGAATATAATTAGTATTAGTATACCTATTAGTCTAATTATCAGAATATAATTAATACTAGTACAACTATATGTCTACTTGTCAGAATATAATTAGCACTAGTACAACTATAAGTCTACTTATCAGAATATAATTAATACTAGTACAACTATAAGTCTAATAATCAGAATATAATTAGTACTAGTACAACTATTAGTCTAATTATCAGAATATAATTAGCACTAGTACAACTATAAGTCTACTTATCAGAATATAATTAATACTAGTACAACTATAAGTCTACTTATCAGAATATAATTAGCACTAGTACAACTATTAGTCTAATTATCAGAATATAATTAGTACTAGTACAACTATTAGTCTACTTATCAGAATATAATTAGCACTAGTACAACTATTAGTCTAATTATCAGAATATAATTAGTACTAGTACAACTATTAGTCTAATTATCAGAATATAATTAGTACTAGTACAACTATTAGTCTACTTATCAGAATATAATTAGTACTAGTACAACTATTAGTCTACTTATCAGAATATAATTAGTACTAGTACAACTATAAGTCTACTTATCAGAATATAATTAGCACTAGTACAACTATTAGTCTAATTATCAGAATATAATTAATACTAGTACAACTATAAGTCTACTTATCAGAATATAATTAGCACTAGTACAACTATTAGTCTAATTATCAGAATATAATTAGTACTAGTACAACTATAAATCTACTTATCAGAATATAATTAGCACTAGTACAACTATTAGTCTAATTATCAGAATATAATTAGTACTAGTACAACTATTAGTCTAATTATCAGAATATAATTAATACTAGTACAACTATAAGTCTACTTATCAGAATATAATTAGCACTAGTACAACTATTAGTCTAATTATCAGAATATAATTAGTACTAGTACAACTATAAATCTACTTATCAGAATATAATTAGCACTAGTACAACTATTAGTCTAATTATCAGAATATAATTAGTACTAGTACAACTATTAGTCTAATTATCAGAATATAATTAATACTAGTACAACTATAAGTCTACTTATCAGAATATAATTAGTATTAGTACAACTATTAGTCTACTTATCAGAATATAATTAATACTAGTACTACTATAAGTCTTCTTATCAGAATATAATTAGTATTAGTACAACTATTAGTCTACTATTCAGAATATAATTAATACTAGTACTACTATAAGTCTACTTATCAGAATATAATTAATACTAGTACAACTATAAGTCTAATTATCAGAATATAATTAATACTAGTACAAGTATTAGTCTAATTATCAGAATATAATTAATACTAGTACAACTATTAGTATAATTATCAGAATATAATTAATACTAGTGCTACTATAAGTCTAATTATCAGTGTATAATTAGTATGAGTACAACTATTAGTCTAATTATCAGAATATAAATAGTACAAGTACAACTAATATATATTTTGAATTTGAGCTAACCTGTAAATATTGGTGTGGTGTACTTAATGCTCTCTGTATTGCTGATCTTGGTGCTGCATTAATATGATGTTTTATGATAGATACAGAATTATAATATAACAACTCATATAATGGTAGAGATGTTGGACATTTCAAATACTTTCTAAAATATACAGAATAGATACATATAATGTAAGAACCTAGTAGCCTTTTTTTCTATCCTTGAGAAAAGTCACTTAGATTTCTAGCCTTACACACAGAAATTTTATTTTTTATCCAATTATTTAGTACAAACAATTGAATAACGACAGCCATTAATTTTAGGTTGGATAGAAAAGTTTTTACTTACTGAAATAATAAATGTAAGAAATCTAATGTTTCATTTCGTAATTTTTCATATGGTGTTAGTCTTTTTTTTTGTTTCTCCATTTTTTGTAGTGTCTTAAAAAATAATTTTAAATTTCAAAAATAAATATCTGAGTGATACAATTTGTCATCATTAAAGACAGTTAAGATTACTATTACTTCTGCAGGTGGGCAAGTTTGACCTGAAGGAACATCTGACATATGTCTCCCTTTCACATTCATAAAGAAGGACATTATATACAGATTTTTATTATTCATGTTTTATCTCGAGATGTGAATAATAAAATAGATCTTAAAATATACATACATTTAAATGGGCAAGCAATAGCTGTACTAGGAAACTATCGAACTCAATTCAAATATTAATTAACCTCAAAACCATAAGAAGCAATCAATAGGTATGAATAAATGATTGCTTCTCTGCGTTTTCTGTCTTTTCAGGATTTTTTCAGTTGGTTGAACCACATTAATTATTACAAACCAGAATGAAAACAAAATTAAAATAATATTGATACCTTTCTTAGATTGTGCAAGTCTGTTTTCTTAGGTATTATTAAATTCTCAGTTTCAATTTCGGGTTCTTCTTCAGGAACATGTTCAGTTTCAGCTAAAAAAAAAATCCATGAAAAACTTTTTATATAATTAGAAAGGGAAGATATTGGCTAGTGTATAAAAATTATTCAGCCAATACAATCCAACATGCAAAAACAATATAAGTACACCTCGAGTAATTCAAAGACATTCTATGTAAATTCAAGTATGGTACGAATCTATAGGTAATCTGTATAAAGCGAATTACAGTGAAAGCATTTTCACAGGCAATCAACATGAAAGACAATCGAATATGCACTCTACAACTTTAAAGATGGGTTCCCTTATTTTCATTTATGAAAATAAAAATGCTAAGACTTCTATGAATAGAAAGTAGAGGTGTTCTAATGACTTGGAAAAATACCAGTTTTTCTCACATGTCCATAATTTATTCATAATTAGTTAAATTAGAAGAGAATTTCCAGCAGAATTCCAATGAGTGACCGATCAAAAAGGTCAAAAAGTCTTTTTTTGTTTATCCAGACTGTAATACATGGACATTTATGATTGGTTAAAATTCTTAATTATATACAATATAAGAAAAATAAGGATATGATAAAGAATTCATGATAATTCACTACAAACACCAATTAATCAAATAGTTTGCTTAATTTGATACTAAAAATTAAGGAAACCCATCTTTAAGAAATAAAAAATGCAGGCAAAGGATGGAAAATAATCAGAAAAAATAAGGAATATAACAAAAGAATTCACAATTCCTCTTGGGACAGATCCATGAAATTTGGTGCCAACGTGAATGAATACGTTAAAAGTAAGTGAATAAAAAGATGTCATACCCACCATTTAACAGTGTAAGGCGTTGTAAATATGTTTCTATTTGTGAAGGTATTGTATTTATCTCATGTGGCAAATTATATTCTGTTATGTGTTTTATACCCTGAGTTAATAAATTTATCATTTCTTCTTTTGATAACATCCTTAAATTATAATAACAATCATTACAAGGTAAACTGATAATTTGATAATGAAATTTATTTTTTATTATTGTACATATATATATGAAAATTCATTACTTGAAAATGATATTTAATTGGTATATACATAATATGAGATATTTTAAGAAATTATGATTGAACAATATATATGACTGGTACATGTTTTTCTTCGCCTTGATTTTGACTACAACTTCATGAGCTCAATTCTTTCATAAAAAATAAAATTCATGAAAAGTCATTAATTTTCATCTTTGACATTTATATACACACATTACACAAAATATAAACTTTACTTGTACCTTAACAGGTCAAATGCTTCCTTATATCCATCACTGTCTGTTAAACTACATTCTATACATATAGAGTACAATTCACGCAGCTGTAAATATTATATTAACTGATTATAGTCTATTAAACTACATTCTATACATATAGACTACAATTCACGCAGCTGTAAATATTATATTAACAGATTATAGTCTATTAAACTACATTCTATACATATAGACTACAATTCACGTAACTGTAAATATTATATTAACAGATTATAATCTATTAAACTACATTCAATACATATAGACTACAATTCACGTAGCTGTAAATATTACATTAACAGATTATAATCTATTAAACTACATTCAATACATATAGACTACAATTCATGCAGCTGTAAATATCATATTAACAGATTATAATCTATTAAACTACATTCAATACATATAGACTACAATTCACTCAGCTGTAAATATTACATTAACAGATTATAATCTATTAAACTACATTCAATACATATAGACTACAATTCACTCAGCTGTAAATATCATATTAACAGATTATAGTCTATTAAACTACATTCAATACATATAGACTACAATTCACGTAGCTGTAAATATTACATTAACAGATTATAATCTTTTAAACTACATTCAATACATATAGACTACAATTCACTCAGCTGTAAATATTATATTAACAGATTATAATCTATTAAACTACATTCAATACATATAGACTACAATTCACGTAGCTGTAAATATTACATTAACAGATTATAATCTATTAAACTACATTCAATACATATAGACTACAATTCACTCAGCTGTAAATATCATATTAACAGATTATAATCTATTAAACTACATTCAATACATATAGACTACAATTCACTCAGCTGTAAATATTACATTAACAGATTATAATCTATTAAACTACATTCAATACATATAGACTACAATTCACTCAGCTGTAAATATCATATTAACAGATTATAATCTATTAAACTACATTCAATACATATAGACTACAATTCACGTAGCTGTAAATATCATATTAACAGATTATAATCTATTAAACTACAGGCAAACTTTGTACTATTAAGTTTTAGACTGACAGTGTTTGTTATATTTATTGTCAGACAGATCCTTTTACAGATGGTTGGGCTGGTCATGTCTGGAAAATACAGTCAAAACAAAAGCCCTGAGACAAAGAAAATAATAATGACTACAAAAGGAAAGGGTCCAGTGAACAAACATAAAACATAACCTTTTTCTATATATATTATCAAAATTTGTGCCAATTGTTGATTGACATTTTCAAGGTCATCAGATATTTGACTGTCAAGCTCTTTTTATCTAAACAACTGAAATCGTGCAGATCAGTCATATTATTTGACTGAATAAGTCATTGTTTATGTGGAATAAGCATGTGTCTTGTAAGAAATGTATGATTTATTAACATGTTTAGTCAATAAATTTTGACAACTATTTCAACATGACACACTTACATTTATTTTGTTCCGTCAATTGTTTGTCAGTTCCAAGTTGATTCATATAAGTGTCAATGGTCGTAGAAAATTGTCATAACATGTAATAAACACAGCAAACATGTGAAACATAGCAGCAAACATGTGAAATATAAAATGACACCTTCAGTTATTTAAAGAAAAAAAAATTATGAGCACATGTTCACTACAAAAAAAACCTAAAATAATTGGATGTATTGATGAGTTCAAATAATATGCACATTTGAGCTCATAGAAATATATATTTGTAAACAACTTGCTAAGAATGTTAATTTTTACCTGTTTTCCCAAAGGGTGTCTAGGTAAACGACAGACCAATACATGTAGCAAATTCATCAGTGGAAAAAATGATTTATGGTAATCATGCAACCCTTGCAGTAACTCTGTGACTTTTGTCTAAAATATAGGCAAATTTGTACATGTAAGTTTAGCTTTTCTCAATCTAATTGGTTGACAACATGGACCTTATTGATATTCCTCTTCATGTCAAATTGAAGCCATAAAAACTCAAAATACCAGGACTAATCATCCATGTCTCTACCAGACATATACCGGTAAGGTAATGGAATATAGGCCTACCATTTGAAGCCTCTAACCAAATCATATTTTCTTTATTTTATGTCTATTGTCATACAAAAACCATCATAGGTATTTCTTTGCTTTCATCAAATCACAGATTGCAAAACTAACAAGTGGTTGCCTAGCAAGATACGCCCAATTCTGTGATAAAGTTTCGGTGTATCAAGGGCGGTCAATAATCTGTGTCAAATCAAACGAAAAATCTTAGTTGTCAAAAATATTATTGATTTAAAAAAATTCTGACATAAACTGTCACCTCTATTGAGTTAACAAGCCACATTTAACATAAAATGTATTAATAAAGTATGAACTAAATATATAGTATTCATAAACAAATTTTATGTGCGTTTTTAACAAGTCAACAGCAAAAACTCAACAACATTTCATCGAAAAATCATCAAATTCAAACTTGACCAAAATCTTATCAATACGAATGGTCACACCAAATTTCATTAAAATCAGATAAGAACTGTAGACGGAGAGGGGCGAAGACAATTTAAGTTTATTATAATGCGTTTCTAATTGTGCTTTTATAATGTGGGTGTATAAAAACTACCTTCATAGATTTATTATCTTTAAACGTGACTTTTTCCTCTGAAGAACATGAATCAACACATCTGTAATGAAAAACAATATAGATTTATCACTAGAAATATTAATAAAATGTTGATTTAGACCCAAGAGTTACTAATAAAAAATGCTTGTTTTACCTTCGCCAGAACAATTTGTGAATTACAAAGGCACTTAATTTGAAACCATTGTGGTTTGTAGTAAACGAAACATACTTTGAAAAACTTGTTAAAAGTCTTATTTTTTCTAAATCTGCCTCGTGTAATTTTTTAACTGTTGATGATATATCAGATTCAGGACAACATAAATGAGCAAGTGGATTACTGTAGTAATGATCTAACATACAAAACTGAAATAGAGACATAATCATGTGTAGATAGAACTATGGATATGATAAATCTATTTACATCATATCCTCCAGTAAACCTGATATATGTTCATCTACCATGAAATACAAGAGAATAGCTATATTATGTATTTATCTTCTATATTGAACTTAGTCTGTGTGGTTTATTTGGATTTGAAAACATTTGTGACTAATGGAAGGAAGGAACAGTAGTAAATGATCTTACCTGAAGTCCTTTTACAAAATTAATAACTGAGAAATCATGATAGAGAAATAAATCTAACAACAGATGAAAAACTTTTGGTCCCAGCCTAAAAGGATGAGTTGAGGTAAATAATATCTGAAAAACAAAACAAGCATCAAACTCTACCCATTTCTTTATAGACACACCAGACGTGTCAAAGTATCTTGCTTTGGAATTCATAAATATCTTACATCCAAATAAAAACACTTTCAGGACAGTTGTGGATAGTTTCAACGGTCACAGTCAACAGAAGACATTTGGTCTTAGTGTAGGCCTTATTCCAGCAACTTGATAATTTATCATTTCAGCCCCTCTTACATGTTTCTTTCAAATAGCTGTAAGAGCCAGGTAACAGGTAACCCAGAATTGAACCTGACTCCTGGTTATAAAGCAAGGTTAAACTCTCAAAATCCATGCCCAATCATATCTTACTTGATTTATAACTTGTGTAAGATAATCTGAAGATGGTGGTGCCTGGAATTTCTCCATACATAACAATGATGAAACACAGTTTGATAGTAATCTATGGACAGCAGATACTGATGTAGCTATACCAAATACTAGTACTATAGGTAATTCTTCTATATAGTTACTATAAATCAATACATAAACCATCAACAAAAGCACTCTTAATTCAACTTTCCTTACCTACATGTAAAAGGGGGCTGTGATAAAATCATTTGTTTTACAAGCTAAAAGAGCTCAGTCTTAGCTGTTTATAGCATTTTGGATAGTTTATCCCAATGTGTTAAATGACTAGTCTTAAGGGAGTTAATAGCCAAAATGAAAGTCTGCCTAGAATTGTTCTTTTAGAATGTTTACAAGCAATTGTGGGCAGATAGAGGAGGTATAAAAAACTATTGTACCTGCAAATTGTAATAAAATCCTGTAATACATTAGGTGAGAAACTTTCCATGTCTTCTAATACTATAACTAAAGTTGGTTTATAATCAATATCATCTACTGAGCCACTTCTAGATCTTCTCTTCTTAGGCGATGATTTTCCACTCTACAAAGATAAACAGATTAAAAAAAAACCCTTTTAAAGCATTCAGGTCTCAATCATATCATTATCTATCTTATTATTTCTTGCAGTTGATCAGTCTAATTTAAAGATGTCTAATCAAACTTTGATTTTATTTCAAAAGTTTTTAATTTTACGCAACCATTCCTTTCAGGGTCTAATAACACTCTTCTGATTTCTTTGTATACCCTAACACGATGACCTCTGCTTTAACCAATCAACTTATACAACATGTATTCAGAACAGCCAATTAAAATTCTTGTTTCAACTACTCAGCACAATGTTCAGTTTCATTGAGTCCCAACACCACAAAGTGCTGGAGAGGCAATGAAGAAGAAATCTGGCAGGCAGTCTTAAGAATCAAAATGAAAGTTATATAGAAAATTTGTAAGACCTACATGGATTAACTTAAATAAACAAGATAAACAGAATGAAATGTTGGTCTAATTTTAATTTAGATTGGGAGTTGTTTTTGAAAATAAAACAAGTGTTATTGGAAAATAATGTATAAAACATACACTATACATATCTTGATACCAATTAACTAATGTAGACATAGTACATGGTGAATTCTTCTTGAGAACAGTTTGAATTAATTCATCGTCTTCATCATCCAGTCCCTGTAAAGTAACAGACACATATACTTGTAACTCGCTATTCAAGCTTTTAAATGTTCTGTTCTGACCATATCTTAAGTGTAAGCAACAAATAATTATAAAGTTTGTAAATGCTACCAAAAGAGCAATAACATCTTGACATTGTTCCTACTCAAACTTGTTTTTTCAAATAGGCCCTTATGATAAAAACAAATATTTGAATGAAATATATTTTACAGATAACTTTTCTGCATCATATTTGGACACTAAAAACAGACTTTCTAATTTTTTGTAAATTGAGCTATAATTTGTTTTACATAATAAAGAACAAGTCAACTAAAAGATAACTTACTAAATCAGGTCTCTGTGTTAACTGACAGATAGTTTTAGATAGTATATTTTTTAGTGCTGGACAGTCTTTAGATCTCAATGTAGCTATATGAGGAGTGACACGTTCTTTCATCAGTGATACCATATTATTAAACATAACAGCATGATCTGGTGTATTCACTCCTACAAAATATCAATATTTAACTAGACAAATCATTGACATTTAGATATAGATGGTTTCACAATATGAATGGATGGATGGATAAGAATTAGTCTTCCCATATTTGGACAATGACAATTCTGAATCACATTCTGATTAAAATGCATATCATGTCTATCTGTGGGTTACTACACTTGCTAGATGATAGATTAAATTTTTCTTTGAAACATGTTAAGTCAAAAACTCAATGGCATCAAAAGTCATGATATTTTCTGTTAATAATAAACTGAGCTAAATGCGGACTGGCAATAAATGTTGATGATGAAAAATGAATATCGCAATATTCTTAATTTTATTGAACAATTCATTTGAGTGCCTGTTCTATTTCAATGACCCCAGTTTAACTCAAACTATGAATGAAGAATTACCAGTTATTAGTGCTGCAGTTGGTATTTCTTTAACTAATGTTTTTCTACCAACTCCTTTATGACTTGATTCCACAAAACTCAACAATTCTTCAAAGATTTTACTGTTTAAGTTGGATTGTAAAATCTGAAATATAATTCTCTTATTAAATTGTAAGATTGAGATGAGAAAATACCTCGAAACATAGATTTCAGCAAAGCAAACATTTGACTCTTCTTATCATCAATATTGATCATGTGATAACTAAAAAAGAAGGAAATCAACTCCACAGCCAAAATCATGAAACATACTGTTAAATAAAATACCTGAATTTCTGTATCAACATTCTCCCACATCTCTTGACAAACCTCATGTCTCTGTTTACCAGTGTTATCTTTCACAGGAAAATAATCAACTGGAGAAATATACAACACAGACAATTAAATAGAAAACCAACTTCAGTGTTGCAGAATGGTAATAAGTAGGAAGTAAGAACATGTATTGAAAAGAAAATAGCAAAAGCAATATTGCCATAACCAGGATAAAATATTAATACCAAAAATTAAATTCAAATTTATATACAAAAATATTGCCATACTAGAGCAAGTATGGTATCGATAAAGTATGGTATCGATAAAGTAAGGACTGCAAAGTCATAAACCTTTAACTATAAAATTAAACTTATAGAGGGTTACCCATTTTGTTATAGGACTTTTCAAAAACACTAAGATTTCTCCTCAGCCTGTGCTTTCATAATTTCAACAGAGATTTATTGTTCTCAGTCTTCACACTTGAAAATATGTGTCTGCATAAATATTTTTAATAACACAAAGTCATTCTAAGATTATTGTTATTTTGAAGCTACTACCACACAGAAACCATCCATAAAATTGGTACAAATAAAGTAATATATAGGTCCCAAACTCACTTGGTTTAGCAACTTTTTTCTTCCCTTTATAGGCAAAACAACCCTGAAATCAATACATTAACTCAAAAGGGGCAAATTATTGAATCCAATATCATTGTCTCTTGTGTTAACTACTGCCCATGCATGCAGCGCCCAAATAAATAAATCACCAATACAAAGCTATCTGGAGAAAGACTGCAGTCTATCCCATTATTTTATTGTAGACTGAGTTAATTTATTTAACAGGGCCTATTTTTTCTGTCTCTACACCAGCAGACATGCGTCCAAATAGCTATTAGAGGCTGGAGTAAGAGACAGATGATCAGGTCTAGAATTTTTGGTACGCCATCGCAGTGTTTCAGTTTAATATTGTGTATATCTTCAAGCTCAATTTACCTTGGAAACTGACTCTGCGGTGTTCATCTTGCCTTCACAAGCAAAATATCGGTAGTTGATTTAACTCCCGCGGTATTTCCAACGAATTTTACACCCTCTATTTCTAAAGAGTATCAAAGAGTTACTCCCCTTCATTTGAAACCGTAGTTATTTGAAATAGCACATCGGCTTCAGTCAACAACAGTTTCAATTAGGTTCTGTAGTTCTGTACCAGTTCTTTTAGGGCTTAGCTCTAAAAGGAGAAAAATCAGCATTGTCAGGGATTGATCTGGGTCTTAAGAAGTACTAAAATGCACAAAAATCCCTTCATATATACCTCAAACTGGAAATTTCATCGTCTATTCGTATTCATATATTTGTTTTCTCTAAAATTTTAGTCGAATTTGTAACTTTCAAATGTGAATATTAGGTATGATTGGTCGAACAGATAATGAAGGTGCTGCTTTAAGCAGTTATCAGCATTTAGCAATTTTTCCAACTTGATCAACACTCATAATATCTACAAAGTTTACCTCTGACCCTGCACTAAAGGTTTAAATAGACTGAAGCATAGTTTAAGTGTAATAAAGACTATGTAACAGATGGATAATGAGGGCCAGTCATGCGGTGTGAGTTGCAAATTAAATTCATATATTGGAACTATATGCATAATGCATATATGGCAGGTTTTGATGATTTTAGAATTTTAGCTTTAAAGCACATTCATCAATCCTTGTCAGTTACAGTAAAATGGATTATGTTACATAAGTGTATCGTAACTTTCAAGGTAGATCGTTTGTTAAAGGCAATAACTCCAAAAAACAATCAATGAAAATTTCCCTGTTTTCGGCACATATAACAACATTTTCTCAAACTTTCCTAATTTATTTCAGTGGTTAACAGAACAGCATCAATATACATGTTACAATTTAAAATAAAAGCCTGTTAAAGGGAAATGAAACCTTGAAGGTTGAAGGGTCTACTCCATCAAAATGACTGAGCAGCAATGAATACTGCTTGTGCATGTATTATTTTGCAATTGTCCGGCTTTTCTCTTTTTAATAAGATTTCAAGGCACTTTATTTGGAATACTTTAGAACAGTAAGTGGATAAAAGAAAAGCAAATGACAAAATAAATAAGTATGCTTATCAATAACTCAACAAAAGAGAAGAATGATTGAAATCATTACTAAAATATCATCTCAGTTACACATATATTGAACATTCAGTGCAAGGAACAAAATCTGAAGAGATTCTCATGAACAGTACCAGTGTCCTGAATGTACATCTATATCATTCGACAGACTATATCTTTAATTTAAGAATACAATCATATTCAATTCTTCTTCAATATTCAATCGTCATAATCAACTATGATAAGAGGTAAGTTCTATTATTTACAAATTATGTCATTCATTCAAAATATGTACATATACATATTGTTGTTTGGGAACTTGAAACCTAGACAAAATTATAATGCCTTCTGGTACCAGTACCAAACTTCACAAACCTATTAAAAAATTCATGACATTTACCTAGCCTGATGGCTCAAATGCATCTGAGCCAGCATCATTACATGTTATACAATTATACATTTTACTTTAAATATTCTACAGTATCAGATTAATTAAAATCCGAATAAGTTGTTTTGTGAAATTTTTACAACAAAACTGAAACTTACAAACATAGCTCTTTAGTTAAAATACAAAATATAACCTCATGCAATATTGACTAGAAATATTAACAGACATACTGGTAATAATAAAAACATGGGAATTCACATCAAATTTGGTATAATATTTGCTTTATTAAAATGTGTAAGATATGTAGTGGTGTACAGGCAATACAATTGGAATATCTCCACAAATACTCTCTTCAGGATAGTGCATACATTTAAGAAAATCTGTAAATGCAGTATAATGATTGATTTCCAGGGCAGTGAGCAATGGTGGATTTCTGAACATTGTCAAAATCAAACCATTGAATCAATCCATCCTTGTCACTCATGCATGAACACAGCAAATACAACAACTAAATAAAGCATTCTTAAATCATTTACTTAATCTACTGAACTTTCTTTCCTCGAGGTTTCCATGCTTTCAGAAGGACAGAGGAGAAATAGAGACCAAAGACATGAAGTTGAGCAGCTATAAATAAGAAAGTTGACCATAATAGAATTGCTGGAAAACTAAACATAACATAAGTGTACTTTCTTTCTGTAATATAGACATACAAGTCATTACTAACATCAATAAAACCAAACAGTACTGGAAAGAGTCCAAAAACAACAGTTCCTAACATGTATTGTTTAAGTAGAAATGATTTGTTATAAGATGTTGAACGCCAGCCTAGGACTGCTGCACTAATGCTAATGATCCAAGCATATTCCCAGGGTCTTGGTGCTGGAAGGTCCCATCTTCGCAGGCTTTGAAATGAAAAACCAAATAATGCTGATAAAGCTGGAAGAAGTCTCATAAACATCAAGAAACCCAACAGCATTTGGAGGAAAATATCAAATTTTAGTCTGGATTTATTAATTGAACTGAAAAAGAAAAAGGAGCATTTGAAAGAAAATAACCACAAATTGCATATATTCATTTGAACTCTAGTAAGAGACAAAGCTACAAATTTCCCCGTTCAAGTGAACAGAGAAATTTCTGTATGTCACATTTAGGGCTTAGGCTTAATAGAATTGATTTCTTTCAATATATTATGTCTATATATCAATTGATAAACAAAAGCCATCACATCAACAGCTGCTAATGAATTAATATAAGCTTTGGCTTGTTTCTGAACCATTCATAAATATTATTTAAATGACAAAAAAAAACCCAAACAGCTGCTAACGTTTGCTAAGCATGAACAATTCATTGATAGCTTATCTTCGATGACCTAGGATAAGGTTTCATAATTTGATTTAATATTTGGATCAACAAATTCTTAAGACTATGTAACTGTAAGTAAAAAAATGAAAAAAGTCTCAGCTTACCTGAGTCTATACTGCCATGCAATACTTTCTCTGTGCCAGTGGTCACTTCCATCTGTACCTTCCGGTCGTGCCCCTAACATACTGGACATAATGAAGGGTTCTGTAAGTATTAGGTATGCAGTAGGCTAACAGTGTATATTTACGATAATATTCAATTTCAATGAAAATTTCATGACCGGTGACACGACAGGAAGTACCTTAATACCAAATAGGTAAATAACTTCCGGTTTGCCGCTTACATCATCAAATTGAAAAAAAATAGAACTTTTCTCTGTCCCAAAATTGAATCCTTTTGCAACCTTGTTGAGATATTGTAATGTAGTACTTATACATTATACTTATTTGTAAATAAAGACTCTCACTGATAAAATGTAAAAATTGTCGCTAGAAATAAGTAGGCCTAGGTGCGTTCGATTTACTTTCCTGAAGAGTCTTAGCGAACTAAATAAGTTGTAGGAATCACGTTTTTTGTACCCCAGCCCCAGTCATCACAGTCTATTTAATTTCATTCAGACCGCGTAACTTAAAACATGATTGTACACACACAATCTAACCATAACCCAAACCTATTTCCTCTGAATCAGGTTTTTTGTACGCTTGTAACATAGAGTTATATAACTCTATGGCTTGTACATAGATCAGTATACACTTTTATGGTTTGTATCAACTCGAGAGCAGCTGACCTTTTCATTATGCTTTCTTATTTTTCCATTTCTTCTTGTTGATTAAAATCGTTTTTTTTTTCTTTCATTGTTGCTATTTGAATGGTAAAAACACGATGGATTAGACTGGTACTGACATTAAGACCCATAAAATTATTCATATTTCATTTAATATTAATATTTAGACTAATGTCCACAAAACTGGAGATGAACAGCCAATCAAACACATCCTATTGACCGAAGCGGCCCCAACACTTGTTATGGCTTGATTGGCAACCCATTCATTCAATGGGAAAAACGTTTACTCAAGTATATTTATTCTAATACGGAGTTTACAAAAGAAGACTGCATTTCATGGCTTTATATAAACCCACTATGGTCTTTACGAAATTACAGTCAAATTCTTTGAATGCGAATAGAGTACAACATGAAGACGAAAATGTAGAAATAACACCAACTGCAACTGACAGACACATTCGTGTATCGGCCGTCGGAGAAGCAATCCTTCGGCCAAATAAATGTAAAATTTCAATCTCTGTCACGGGGAGAAAGGAAGAAGCCCAGGAAGCCAAAAGTAGTGTTTCAAGACGAGTGGAATACATCAAACAATGCCTATTTAATTATGGAATAACAGTAAGATTTCAATTTCTGTTTTAAGTGCAGCTCATTTGTGACTTAGAGTTTGGACTAGGGCTAGGCATTGACATAGATTGACAGTGAATCAAATTTTACCAATTACTTTCATTTAGATTGAAATATCAGTATCTAAATAGTTCTAATAGTTCTTCCAAAAATATTGGTCAATTTCGGTTGAAACATATTTGATTCACTACAAAAAAATCAGTAGATACCCACTTAGGCCACTAGCCTACTGTGCAAAGTGAGCACTGAGATAGCCTGGCTAATTGATACGGTAGCCTACCTAGCAGGTTTGGAAAATTATTGCAACGGTGTCCTCCCATTGGTTGGACATCTCAATATAGGCTAGTTGTGAGAGGATGACTAATTAATATGCTTAATTTGTAGAATTTGAAACCATCAATACTATCGATCACATCATTACATATAACAAAACAAATGTACAAAACGGCTCTGAACTAATATGCCACTACAACTACAGTCAAACTTGTACGAACGGTCAGTCTTTCAACCAATTTTCAAATCTTTTCAACGCGACCAGCCTCCTATGGCAGTGTTATCACATACACCTTCACTCAACGGTCATCTATATGTAACAGTAGATACAAGGGACAAATTTTCTTATGTGTAAGGCTTAGTAGTGAGGACAGTTAAGTGGTTGAAGGGAGGCAACTCTGTTTAGTAAAAGTTACAAGTGCCTGTGTTTCAAAAGGTGACTAATGCCTGTGTGCCTTTTGACAGGAAGTTCTCTTCCATGTGCTCCTCAATGTTAATAAAGCCTATGAAATACCTAAGTTTTGTTTCTCTCCTCCCACAGGTATTATTTTGCTATAAAAGACCAATTATGTTGCTGTCAATCTATAAGACATAGGTTTACTACACTATGTCAGTGTTTTAGGCCTTTGCCTCTGAAAATCTTGTATTTTCTATTAGTATCACACACGTTGGATGGCCCGGTGCGGTATGCCACTCCACGTGGTAATGGGCAACCCTTATTCATTGCGCCTTTGCATTGTTCTCTCATGTAATATAAGTTTACACAAGTTGATGTTCGTAAGACATGTTGTATATTAGTTTGTAGACTCTTATGACAGGAAGTTCTCTTCCATGTGCTCCTCAATGTTGATAAAGCCTATGAAATACCTAAGTTTTGTTCTCTCCTCCCACAGATGATCCTGTAGAAGGTAGTACGACATTGTTTGTCTGTTGTTAACAGAGCTGTAGAAAAAGGGGTGTTGGTTTCAGTTGCACCATGTTATAGTGCCAGTATATGAACCCTTTCCTTGTGCTCACCCGAAGTGTCTACCAGGCTTAGTTGTGCTTCATCGTATAATCCTGAGGTCCACGTTGTATCGTCTTTAAAGCTGAACTTTAGGCTTAACTGAGTTACCCAGTGTTGTCATTATTTCTCATTCTCTGTGTGTCAGTCATCGCGTTGGCTAATCTGGTTGTTTTACTACTCACACTTCTCTGTTTTCACCTTCTTGGTGCAGAGAGGTGTAACATATATCTTTTAATGTTTGTTCACTTGCTATAGTTCATATATAACACTGCATCAGATCCCGTATAAAGTTGGAATCCCATTATATCTTTCAGAGTGAGAATGTAGATATATTTGAGAGGTTAATGAGAGAAGGTAAACTAGTGATAATGAAATGTGATATAACGGCAGTTTTCACCGACTTCAACAAATGTCAAGAATTCTCAAATCTTGTCATAGAAAAATTAGATCAGAATGTCCAGGTATCTCTTCCTGAATTTCAGCATGATGATAAGTTTATAGAATCTCTAAGGTAAGTTACATAGGACATTAAATTTTATTTTCTAAGGTATTTTCATTTAAATCATCGTATATTTGAATAGTCTTAGGCTATCGTGTTGATGTGGTATAAACCCATTCACAATTTATGTATATATATTTTAGGAAAGAAGCAAGTTTACTTGCCATTCATAATGCAAAACTTAAAGCACAAGAGATGGCAAAATTAGTTCATCTTGATGTCGGTCGGCCTATAAGCATTCAAGAAGAAGAAACAACTGAATCAACACCCCCTGGCGATCTGGCAGATTCCGTTCATCAACGTAAACTTGATGCTACCATGACAGTCACTAGCAAAATATCTGTTTTATTTGAGCTTAAAAAGAGAAGCAAAAAGAAGTGAATACGTGCTCAATAAGTCAATCTGATCACGCAAATCATATCCCTGTTTTTAATACATTATAGTCAGTATCATTTATTATTTGGTTGAAAGTTATTTTTCAACGTATACCATTGAAATTAGAGTGGTTTCGGGCCTCAGAGGACTTTGTCCATTTGGGATTCGCCTCGGGGAGACACCCCAATTTTAGAACTCTTCTGAGACATTTTCTTCATACACTCCTGTGTAGAACGGTAAGGACCGGATAACCAAAAGTGTTTCGCCGATTCCCAATTGTGTTGTGAACGATTGTCTTAAGGTCCTTTCATCAATTGAATCTAAAATTGTCTTTAGTATGGCCTTTGGCTGTTTACAAATTACATAGAAGCGCTCATGATATTCAAGGTACGAAAAGATATTCTGAAAAAGATATTTCGGCTGACACGATCCAGAGGTAATATTTTATTAGTTATTTTTACCCCAGGAATGACCACATGATTATAAGAATTCATACCATCTTATTTGAATCCTATTTTGAACCAGATACAGCGCTATAATGTTGGATCCAGTTTGTCATAAAAACTGGCTTGCCTTGGATACAATTAGTCGTATGATTGAACAAGTTTTGTCTTTACTTAAAATAAGAGGTACTTGGTAGGTGCAGTGCACTGGACAGAAAGTACTTTCTGTTTCTACGGACTTTCTAATTATTCAACCGAATAATCAACGAGCCCTGTACAAGTATAATGCATGTTATTTCAGTACACTGTCTTTATTCTTTCTCACATTCACTCTTACGAATACTGACAATATAAATGGACTTCTACATTTGATGCAGAAGCAGAAATCATTATTTACAATATAAATATAGATATTTGTATATATACATAATTAATGATAATATATTATTATAAACATATGTAATTAAATAGATGAATAATGACAAAAGGTTGTTTATGGTATATAGCACTTTCAACAGAACACCAGAAATATTACCATTCATTGTTTTTAAATCTTATAGCAGTTGATGATTGGTACACCAAACAAACACATTGTAATTTATATTCCCAATATTCACTATGCATGTATTAATGCACCAAATAATCGTGGCCCTCGAACTTCATCAATTCATCACTGTCAAATAAAGTTTTTTTTTAAATACAATAATGATAGATTTAGAGTCGGAAGTTGTATTTATCTGTTTATAAACTGTCTATCAATATGTTGAACTTTGGTATGTAATATGCATGAAGTCAAATGAATATTTTTTTCACACTATAGTAGGCATATACGCTAACATGCAGATGTTGTCCTTGTGTTTGGGAGGCCGACAGCAGAGTTTCCGGCCATTGCACTTGTATTTGATTGTCTGGACTCATTGGCACTCTGAGCACTTGTCTGATGCCGAGATGATTCATTAGATACAATGGGTGGATTTGGTTGGTTAAATTCGTTAACAGTTACGGCTGTTACTTCTCCTATTGGAACCGGTCGATCCGAAATTCGCAACTGTGCAGAATTTTGAATGTTTTGATTTTGGTCAGCTACTGGCCTTGGTTTCTCAGGTTCTGGTCTTGGTAAACAACAACAAACTAGGTCATATATAACTATGTCCGGTTTTTGGTGAATTACATTTTCCTGATTTATTTCCTCATCTTGTGGTGGTCTGTAAATAAACATAATTACATCCAAATTATTGCCCAAGTTTACAAGAAAAGATTTGATTTACTGGACTAATTTGGCTCTTAAACCTTGACTATGCTGTAATAAAGGAATTGCAAAGTTCAAACTGAGCCGAGATGCTTTATTTTATGAATAAGCACGACTCGTTCATATAAAACATCTCATGATGTCATGAGATAGGTTCCGTATATTTCTACATTTACTTTACCTGCATAGTCGTTTAACAACTAAATAAATAGCAAATAACAGCATTAAGACAGTGATTATGACTGCAACAACACATCCAGCTATCAATCCAATTTCTGAAAAGAAGTTTAACGCTGAGTGAAAACAATTTTTCATAGAACTGTGATAATAAAATAATTATCTTGATCGGATATGAATGTCTTTCGTCAAATTTGCATACGATTTTGATGAGAATTCCTTGTGTTTCTGTGAGTGTCGAAGGTTGAAAATTAAAGATTATTACCGTCAAATTATAGACTGATAGCGCTTAGAATATATTCCGGTGCACTAATTCCAATATAGATATCTTACCATCAGCTGATGTTTCGTTATCGGGAGTAAGGCTTGGTGTGTCATCTCTGATAGCTATTGGTGGTGACCATAATTTGTTATTATTTGTCTCTGAATTCGTTCTGGTTACCACTTCAGTAGCTGTAACTGTATTTAGTTCTGGAATAAAACAAAATCCTAAAATTTATTTCATTTCCGGAACCTCAGTTAACCTTCAGATTACATATACCTTCAATTCTAACAAAATCATTCCACTGCATATCAAATTATATTGCAGATCAACCAGAAGATTGGTCTCTCTGGTGTGCTGCGTGCCACTCAATATGAAAGGATGATTAAAGGATAGACAGTATTTTACCTGGTTGACAATCGTATAAAACTCTCAAGAACGTAGCATAACCTCCACATTTAGCTGAATAAGTCTTTGTCAATATGACAGAACATTCGTTTTTCCCGTCACAAGAGTTGAACAAATCTATTTTTTCACTGCAATCACCAACTGCTAGGGAACACTCTGTACTTGAAACCCATTTACTAATACCATAAATTGTTTCATCTAATCTTATTCTGGTATTATCAGGGCATTTGACATCGACTGTTTTTAATTCTCGGTCGGTAATACATTCTTTTATTTCATAATCTACAAAACAAATAACAGGTTGTATTGACTTAAAAACATTCTACTCTATATAAAATATAATGATATGTATTAAATAAATACAGAAGAATCGGAGAATGTTGATTATGTTTTAAACAATGCCTCTATTGTTGATAATATGCCAATATACATACACATTTTTTTTTATATATATTTCAATGGGGTATGATTTAAGGTAAATAGAAAGTTAGTTTGACATCAAACATGTAAAATATTAAGGTAAAACATTTAAAATGATTGTCATGGATCATGAAACGTCAGTGAAAACATATTTCTTCTTCATCTAACTGTAAAGAGAAATACCTATATTTAGTCAGGAGGCAACTGAGGAATGAATCTTTCCCACGCGATTAAATTATACAATAAAATCGTCTTCAGTTCACAAGTATATCATTTTATTCAAGTATTACGACAATGAATAGATGAAGTCTTTACACAGAGTAATATGACACCGCCTTAACACGTCAATGTGTTTTAGCAATATGACACTTCTATTTTTTTTAACCATTGCTTTTAAAAACCTCAGATCTATGAAAGGAGCTTCGTATCTTAAAATCGTCTGCAGAGTCGAGTACTCAACATTAATGTTGTATGCATAATGTGGGTTGTTTCGTGTTTGTTGAGGAGAGTGGAATGTAAGGACCTGACAGAAGAACTATGCACTGACATTTAGCGTTCAGATGGTAGTTCATGGTGAATCCTATTTATAGTAACAATATGAACAGATGGTCCTAAATTCATTGAGCCTCAAACCCATTGAAAAGAGTGACAATTGGTTAATCTGTAGTCCGCATGTTTCACCACTTTAACCTTAACTCCGTTGAATTCACAGAATACAGACGCGTTTTATGGGTTCATCACACTGGCGAATGAATGAAAGAAGGAATGATAAGATCAGACAGTTTTATCTGCAGCAGACAAACAGAGTGTTATTAAAGAACCGGATATAGTTAATGAATGGAGGTTAAAGGTTTTTTCAAGTAAAAACAAGATGAAGGGAAGTTGACATCTGGTACAAATTGAAAATTCTTACAACTCTTGCATCATCTCTATAATAAAGATGGAATATAGGTCACTGGTTCTGTTATAGACATACAAATTGTAACAGTATCAGGAAATATCACGTTTCACTACTGCTCAACGCCACATGGTACATTAAATTATTCTTAACAAATTCCTCCTGTAACTAGCTATCTCAATATATTCCTAAAGCATTGATATCAACTCGTTTAACATTTTAATATTCACGAGAAAATACTCGACATTTAGGTCTCTGAATAGTGTTAAATGTGACGATACCCTTGGGTATGTCTCAATAAAATTATTGAAGTAGTTTCTTTTCACAACGGGATTTCAGGGTTATGTAATTTATGTAATATTCTGATCTTAGGACATGGTATTTTAGACCAATTACTTTGACCTGTGACCTTACCAATACCCTCGAGGAATTAATGTTAATTGAGAAAAACATTGAGAGTAGTTTAATGACTATTGTTGTGTAATAAAGAGATTAAATTAACTAATATGATAGGCATAAAACAAAATGGTGTTTATTATTGACCATGTTACTGCCTATAGGCAAATTGTTTAATGCTTCACAAATTTTTACAACAACATTGTTCATGCTTAAAGTGGATTAAAAGAAAAGAGTATAGTGACAGTATTTTCAAATTGTACTCTTGTATATAAAATGTTTTGAAAGGCCGTGAAAAGGGTAGCCGTGGGGTAAAACTATAAACAATAAAATGTATTGATATAGTTGAGATCAAGGCAGCTGGTAGACCTTTTTACTAACTTTCAACTTTCTTGAAAACAAGTTCGTATAATATGGGGCACACTTGTGACCCTGTAATTTCTTTACCTTTTTAATGGAGTTGGATAAAACGAGTTTGTCTAAAAGTAGTAACTAATTTTAGTGACGTATTTTACTATAAGCCAGATGCTCCAAGCTTCTGCATCGGATAATATTATGATAATGTTTGCTTGATTAAAAATAGGTCACATGCTTTCTAATTGAAAGTTACATGAAATCAATATTTAGGTGATTAAGGAGACAAGAGAAGAATTAAAATGTTAAGACAAAATGTCATGTTTTAGGGTCAAACTAACCATCTAACACCACACAATAACAAGGACCTTTACAATTATTACATTGTGGGCAACATAATCTATCAAAATAAATCATGCATAAATATAGGACGACTAACTTTATAGTTGTCAACGTTATAAATATTTAGCCTTACTTACCTTGAGACACCACAACAAGAAAGTTCACAGCCAAAACTAAACTTGCCAGTTTCCATGCCATTGTAAATAATTCCCAAATCTTCGTCATGACAAAATTCTTCACTTATCTGTTGATGTGTTGCATCTCTTGCGGCACGCGCACCGATTCTGTATGACGCGTGGCCTAACCTTACAGAACTTTTCCTTGGAATATATGGAGAACTTTCCTCTGATTCTGAGCCTTGATTCTTGCAAAGTTAACGTCACCTCAAAAACTCAATACTGAAATGCGGTCCACATGTTACGAAATTTATCTGAAGTTGTTGCAGTTTACTACACTTCATTTGGCGTCGACTAATATAACCATGTGAATGAGAAACTGGTGACCCCGAGATTTGACCTCTTACATTGCGCGTACGACCAATCAGAAAGCTGTTCTTGCCCAGATGTCGAGTGAAGTCAAACAATGAAGATCAGTTTTAAATGTCTACTATTTAAAAAGAAATAGATTGATGTCCAAATAGATAAAAAAAATTTCAGAGGTGATTATGTGTATAGAAATTTCGCGCCTTTTCGTCGGTTCACTGTTTGCCAGCTATATCTTTAACTGTTATTCGATCATATTGTTTGTTCTTTATTTCAAGTGATAATTGGTATATATTTGTATAATCAATGTCTTCTTAATCCGTCTCCAAAACTTTAAACTACCACAACTATATATGTGATAATCATTGTTAATTGTATATAATAGAACAATACTGTCTTCCAATCGTCCTTGTTTAACAGTCTGTCGCCGTCTTCCATAGGTTTACTAGACATAGAACCTTACATCAACTTAAAATATTTTGATCAAGCTCATTTAATGTTTGCAGAATTTGTTTTCCATAAGACAGTTTGTAGCCACTTTAGTACTAAAGTACTACGGCAGTAGCATATTTTCATGAACTAGAAATCTCATTTTCCTTTAATGGTGCAATTTGTATTTCTCAAGAAGACATCTTCATACAATAAATGGGACAAAAGACATTACATAACGTGCCAGTATGATTTCTTTATCTTTTAAACAAAGAAATGTGGTAATCAGTGAAGACAGGCCACACTATTGGTGGTCGATGGCCACTCAGATGTCAAGATCGGCTTAAATTAGATTCTGTTTTCTGGTTAATTCAATTAAAGACCATGGCTGAGTGTAGGGAGGATTTTTCTGAAATTCCAGTCAACAAATGACTAATTCTTGCTACCAAACTTCAAATTTGTTCATTTGTAGAAATGTAATCAAATCATTGAACAGTTCAGACACTAACTAACCGATCTATAGAGGTCAGTCCTTCTTTTCCATCATCATAAGAGATCAAACTGTCTACCGTAACTTTAATTGATAGTAAATTACTTTAACCAACCATTCAGATAACTGTGTTTCTTCAAATATAATTTTATCTTTGCAAAACTAATAAAACAAGATGGAAATATTATATAACTTATTCATAAACTACAAATTACTTAGAAAGCATTAATTAGCACTGGGAGTTAAACATAGAAATCATTTCAGGAATGCTAGCATATTCCGTATTTTCATTATCCTGAATTTCAATAATTGGAGATAAAGGCGTGTGTTGTCGAGTTGTACCAGCTGATATACAATTATCATAGGTATTGTCAGAGACAGGGTTGTTTTCAGTGTTATCTGTCACAATCGGGTTATCATAGTCAGCAGTTGTCTGACGTTGCTGTACCCCGCTAACTTCTCTTTCTGGTGTTTCTGAGTTATCATAGTCAGCAGTTGTCTGACGTTGCTGTACCCCGCTACCTTCTCTTTCTGGTGTTTCTGAGTTATCATAGTCAGCAGTTGTCTGACGTTGCTGTACCCCACCACTTTCCCTTTCTGGTGTATGTGGGTTATCATAGTCAGCAGTTGTTGGAGGTTGTTGTACCCGGCTACGTCCTGTTTGTGATGTTTCTGCGCTCTGTATTGGTGGAGCTAGTTTATTCCGTTTCCTACGTGGTGGAGCTACAAGTTTGACTTCTAGAGATTCCAAAGTTTCAATTTGAGACTTGATAGTACATGTATTGCCGAAAATAGATTGACTATTGTCTTTGGATTTACTTAAGTTGGTGGTTATTATTTCTAAGTTTGATGGTTTACCCTCTGTTACTTCGTTACTATTGAGGGCATCATTTTGATAGGATTCATACATGGATTCATCTGTGTTGTCATCTGGTGATAGCTGAGTCGTATTACTACTGTCACCATAAATTTTTCGCTTGCAAAAGTTGGTTATCCCATAATAATATTCACTAAACCATGTACTGCTGGTGTCAGAAGGTACCTTGCTCATACTGGGGAGTGCTTTCTGGCGTCTATAACAAAAGATAAATAACAATTAAGACATTTTATAAAAAAACATCAGGTTTAAATCAATTAGCATAAGAATTCCTCATCTCCGTGAGCTTCAGCCAAGCATATAGCTATGTTGTCATGTCCACGTACCGGAACCGGAGATTTAAATATAAATCAGCTCCTTTTTTGATTTCTGACTCACATAATGATGGGTCTTGTTAAAAAAACAAACGTATATTGATATCAAGTTTGTACCGAAAATCACAACTTTTAAATTTCAATCGAACCCTCGGTGAAGAAGATGGCTAAGAAAAGCCAAATATTGGCGAAAATTTAGTTATTCAAGAATCAAGTTGGAGCCATCACAATGGGAATGCAACACTTTCAATACATACTTTACAAATCTTCCATGAATGTGGTTTTGATTTGAAAGTTTCGTAATTTTTGTGGAAAATATAAGTCGTGACTCACTTTCTATAGAAATAGTAAAATCCAACAGATACTATGATGACAAGGATGGACGCCATACTAGCTATAACTGCTACCAGCGTTCCTTTAGCTGAAAAATACACAGCCATATCATACTTAACATACAATCCAGTGGTTCCCAAGCTATATCAGCCCTCACACCCAGGAGCAATCACACTCCAAAGATCAACAGGCATTAAAAAAAAAATTAAAGTTCGATTCAAGCTAATCATAATAGGGCCTACTCCCCAGGTCCTCAACCGTACTATGCTGGCTCTGTGGTAGAAGCTGTTATACATACATCGATACATCAAAAGTCCTGAAACCATATAGATTAATTTTTCTCCTACAACAGTTGGCCACACCCCGATATTTTGGTCCCGCAACCCCATGGGTGTTAATCTGATGCGTCACTAAATATTTCTGGAATCTGTGCCTGGCTGAGTACTGTTAACGTTACTTACCATCAGTTGAAGCAGCTGGATTTACAGAAATATCTTCTTCACCAGCTTTGACAGCCCCAGCACTGTTAGAAGCAACAGCAGCCACCGCAGTCTTATTCGTTAAACTGATATTATTTGGAGTTGCCGTTGTAGGTTCAATGTATTTTGTGGTGTTTTCAACATTTGTTTCTGGTAGTACAGGTCTGGTAAAATTGAACAGAAAGGGTGCTACAGTGGTTCTCTGAATTCTCCTTCGTAAGCCAGGTCTATATCTTCTCGGTACACCAATGCGACTTGGATAACGTCTTCTAACACCTGCGGGGCCTAATCCGTCCAAAAATATTGGTCCATTCGGGTTACCAGGTCTTGGTATATATTTACGACCACGGGGTCCTATTCGCCATCGAGGGGTAGTAGCAGTCTGAGGACTGGAAGTTGTTAATTTGTGATAGAGTATTGGCACGGGATGGGAAACATTGTTCCTTTCTTTAACAAAAAATGGTGAAATAATAGTTCTCTTGATTGGTGTTGGTACGGCTCTTACCGGATGATTTCTATTTGCCTGACCTGCTGCATTAGCTTGGACAGAAGAACATTTAACGTTGATTAGACTGTTACCTCTTACAAATGAATGTGCTGAAAGTGAAAGTAAAATTTGTATATATTGTGTCAAACAATGGTTCTAGATACTAGACAAACTGTCCAAATAACCCGAAGCTACCATAAAGAAACCAGGACACTTAGCGCTCAGAATTATACATGCATGTTTTAGACCACTCTTGGCAATGGATCGTCCTTAAAACTCGATTAAATAACGGCATTCGACTTTATAAGTGTAATCCATCATTAACACTTACCGGAAATTCTTGATAAAAAACCACCACGCTTCCTAGTATCGTCGATTCCACCTATTAAATAGGTCATTCGTATTTGATTATCTCCAAACCTTCTGGAATAGGACGACTTCTTGCCACATATTTCACCAGTAACTTGGAACCTTGACGAATTGTTGGCATTATACTTCTCTTCAAACAGCAATACCTCTTCGTCACATTTATCATCAGAGCCAGACATGTCGCTTTTCAAATAGGATATATAGAGGGAGGATTTATCATCAGTAACAATCTCACATTCACAGGTTTTAATATTAGCTGATGGTACTGATGCTGAAGCTGGGTATGATGGTGATTGAATAGCTATTTCCCTCCATCTACTTACATGTATTTTAGAACAAATATCCACCAGGGAATGATCTGAAATATAATCAATATACTATGAAGTTGAAAGTTTGATTTATCCTAGACTTCTTGGATATCATACAACAATTTGCGATGGAAGAGTATACGATTTTCGACCATTACTGGATTCAATACACTGATTGCTTCGAAAAAAGAAGGGGATTAGAAATACATATGACACTTACCATAAATACAATCATACTCAATTTTAACATAGTTACTATTTTCACAACTATCATGACTTTCTATAGGTAGCTCTAGTTTACATTCTCCAAATACTCCTTCACAATCAATTACCTGGAATTTAAACAGCATTATAGCCTACAAATTGACTGGTAGGAGATCAAACTGCGGACGAAAACCCTGCAAAACCAAAATGCGAGACCAGCATGTGGAGATTAAATTTGTAGTACATAAAGCGGAAACTATTTTTTCTGATTTAAAAGCGTTATGAACACACCTGTTTAAAATCGGTAATGTCTTTAGAGCAGTATGTTGTATCTCTAACACAGTACCCAGTGCTCGAATATCCCGTCACTACCCTTCGAATGTGGAGTTTTTGCGAAGGATTTGGACATCGTATCATCCCTGTAAACTTTTCAGTGGAGTTATACGAAGTAGTAGTATTTGTTACAGTACTAGTAGAATTAGAGGTGCTGCTTTCATAATCCTGGTACTCTTCATAATCATATTTCACTTCATTATCATCACGAATACTGTCGTCAATTCTAGAAGATCTTGAAGTTATATTCTGTTCAGAACTCCGGACTTCCATTATCTCTTCAGTTGAATTAACCATTGGTCTATTGATACCAAAAGAAGGTGCTTGCCGTTTCTTTCTGTCATCAATAGGCCTCTGTCGAAAGGTGTAGTTACTACCGATGTCAGTAATGTTTTGAAATCCCGTCTCAAACTCATCATCCTCGACTTCCACCTCTTCGTCTGCTTCCATTTGTTCTCTCCCATAACCTCCGCCAGTTTCAGCTTCTTCACTTTCTTCTGTTTCATCACTATCATCGCTCTCGGTATTACTTTGTGAAAATCCAGAGTCAAACTCTTTATGTTGTTTACGAAGAAGTTCTAACGCTGGAGATTCATAAGGAGGGCTTTTCTTATGGGGAGACTTTCCTGGGTAGCTAACTGTCAGACAATTGTATCTTTGCCCACCTGCAAAATAAATGTTCTTAATGAATTGTCATTACTTGCTATGACATATAATCATAAAAGCAAGTGTGAAGAAACATTCAAGAAATTTAGATAAGAAGTTAACTTACTTGAGTCATGAAGAACACTGAAGAGTATCAGTCCAATCCAAATATATCCACTTTTCATCACTTACAATGTAACTGTGGAGAAGTCAGAGCATATCTAAAACAATGCTCTCACAACTGACGGTATCTTCAGTCCGGTTTACACTTGTTAGTAATAAGAAATATGACCTATAGATGAAGTTTATGGCCAAATATGATCTGATTGACAGATTTTACTTGTCGTGTCGCTTTAATTGTACCTGATTTTCTAAATTCAGACATTTTGATGTATATGACAACAGATCATAAATAATACAAAGTATATGAAAGACGGGATTATCAAGATCAGTTTTGCATTTGAAATCATGTATTCACCGAACTGGACAAACGAGATAATAAAGATGTATGTCATTAACAACATGAAGACAATGGTGTAACAATAAGAAATTCTTCATCGTTAATCATCGTTGTCCATCACTACAGTAGATGTAGGCAGACCTACGTCGAGAATTTGTGTCGGAGGTTAGCAAGTTATGCAATGTAAACACTATTTAGTTTATTTTTGGTTAATTCCAATTCCATATATTCTATAGTACTTATATTTCTTTACAAACACAAATAATGTTTAAAAACTGATATTATATTTAATAAAATTTTAAACAAAACGAAAAAGAGTTTTACTTCTACTGGCGAAAGACACCGCTTAGGACTACTGACCATATTAGTACCGATTCACTAATACTAAAAGGAGAGCTACTGTTTTCACCGGTTATTTTTATTGTCCCGGAATGGCAGAAGTCTCCGACACGCTTCCGTATAGCAGACGTAGGATCCAGTTCACTCGGCACATTAAGATATCTATCAAAGTACTCACACCATGTTCCTGGATTATTGAGCAAGTTAACATTTGACAAAAATGGAGTCTTTAGAGATGAACAGTTTTTGCAATTCTTAATACCACTGGAGGTCATGATGATCCTGCAATATTCTTCAGTGATATCATACATATCATAAAGTCCTCCGAGAGAACACTTCTCATCTGATACACATACAATATATTCCAGAAAGTTTGGACAATCGACAGCAGTTTCGTTAGTAACCATTGAGTTAGTAATTTGTTTGCAAGTATCCAGGATTTCATCACATTTTTTATCATCTGATTTACAAGTGGAGTTGAATTTATTTTGGTAGAATGAAATTGATCTCAGAATAAATCGTTGATGAGAACACAAATTCAGAGCATCATCCAAGCACTTGGTATATAGCTTATAAGAAGAGCATAAGACGTTTTGGTCGGTAGTATTAGAGAGACGATCGTCCCTGGCGTTCTCACAACGATGAAGTTTCATACTACATATTTCAGAGCTGGCATCACACCGAAAATTTCCTAACATCACTAATATCACCATAATTTCACTGGAAAACATGTTTTCAGTCTGGATTCAGATTCAGCATTGACTATTCTAATAATCTTTAGGTTCTAGTATAATTATGCAGACATCTATATATGTAAATGCATTCAGTATTATATGGCCTTTGGGATCACAAGACATTTATATATAAATAATACTCATAAAAATTCATCAATTAACACGAAGTAAAACCACTACTTGATTAATTCTATTACATCTATTTTATTGATCAAATTCCGTCTTCATTTATAGTCAGTTGCCAAGTCGTAAAAGTTTAATCATAGACCTGATATTAAAAAAATATCCTCTAGGTCGAGCACATCGGAATGAAAATCAGACGTGTAACTGGCAGGAAAATCGGTGAGATTCAGTGACACCAACCAAATAAAAATGGCACGAGTTTGTTGAATTTTCCGATATATTACATTTCTTGCCCAACAAAATGATGCAGCGTGTTTGGGTAACATTTATAATGGATAACAATGTAATAACGGATATTTGTAATTAAATTCTGATTTATTTTCAAACCGTCCGGCAAATGGCCATTGCATTTCATGTCAAACGCAAGTGCCATACACACACAGACTTCTCCTGCAGACCAGACCACCCTACCTAAGACATGGCTGCAGATCAGACAGGCACACTAGCAGACACTCTCTTGTATCAAACCATGTGTAAATCACTTCGGAAAGCTATCAATACGCTTGGAGCACACAGAATGCAAATGGTATTTCCAAGAGGATAGTAGTGTACGTGTTTGAGCTGAACGATCCTTAATTTCAACCTTCAACTTTGTTTGAATAATTTTTCTAGTGGTGGGAGATCTTATGTTAATTTGTGTGTGAAAGTCCAGTGACCGTTTATGAGTCTTCTTTCCATATACAGTATACCCCGTGTAATCTGACACACTGAGACCGTAAAAAATTTGTCAGAGTGTCAGAGAACTCAGAGTTTCGACATTTTTTAACATAAGATACTACAGTACCTTGTTAATAATAAAAGACAGTTCGTTTGCATAGATCATTTATTCTTTACATTCATTTGATTTTACATTAAAATACTGAGTAAGTTTCTTTTGTGAAGAGTTTTTTTTTTGTTTTTAGTTACATAGTTTCTTCATGTAACCGATCTTCCAACACAAAGCATATTACACGAAGACGATGATGAATGCACTGGTCGATTCAGTCGTAAATTGTTGCAATTTGTTCGAACTTAATCTCATCGATATACACCAGATGCTTCAACTGCACACTTCATCTGAGATCCCCTCAATCAAATGTATCTTATAACTGCGTTATAATATTATAAAGTTTCGTCAATATCTGTAAAAAAATTGGGCCTTCTAGAGTGTTTACAGGCTAAATCTTTTCTATGCGTTTTTAAGAACAGGGGCAATAAGTCATACTAAATATTTTTCGATTTCTCTCATTTTCAATAGGGTTCATCCTTGGGTGATTGCACCGAGTTTCATCAAAATCTTAATAATTCAACCTTCTAGATAGAACGTTTCCGAGCTAAAAATTGAACAAGGGCTATAACTCATACTTATTATTTTTTTTATTTTCAATAGGGTTCATCCTAGCATATTTAGCTTCAATCGAGTTACTTCCCCTTAACGATTATAAAAAACCTGATTAATATGATACTTTCTCTTACTGTAGAGAAAATTACTGTAGGCTACTATATACAAAACGTTTTACATTTTATGATGCGTTCGTTCATATGATATTCTTCTTTTCAAAAAGAGCTTTCATGCCGGATTTTGTTAATATTAAGGAGACGAATATTGGCGTAGTAAATGATATCTGTATATTCACTGACTCAATGGACTTCCTCTTAGTGAGTTACTAAACAAGGAAGAGATATAACATATTATCTTTTCATTTAATATCGCCAGTTTCTTTTTCGTTTTTTAGAGCTTTGAGACAATTTTAGGGGATTATAAAATGAGTGCCACACGTAAGTTTAAGAAAAAAACAGTGTGTGACACATTTCCTATGCAATTTCTGATTTTCACCTTTTAAAGTTGTCAAACCACCTTGTAGGCCATATAGTCTATTTTTAGAAAAACTTTATTTATTATCAGCCTTTAGTTGTGAATATTTGGTGTTAAATGTACATAACAATCTATATCAGGTAGGCCCATATCACGTTTAATATTTATTAGCCTCTATAATTCACAACACATACCAAAATAAGATTCTGAAGATTCATAAGTCGATTTTTTTTTAAAATCACCGAAGAATGACGTCATATACTCCTCATCTTCCTGCACTATAGGTCAGGCTTCCTTTACGGAACTCATATCACATGATTTTATAATTATGTTCCTTAAAACTTCATTATGATATTTCAGATCTTCGGGTCATTTGAACAATGAAAATATTGTCGGACATTTTAAGGTAAATACGTTTGGTTTCATTTGTGTAATTGAAAGCTTACTCTACTAGGTTGAAATTAGCATATCAATAGATATCAACAAGGAAGTGGGCATTTATTGAGAAAGAATGTCATGCAAGCTATGTAATAGCATCAAAAGCCAAAGTTGCCAAATATGCTAAATAATAATACCGAATATTGAACTTTGACGTGTGCATTATATGACCAAGCCTTACCATTTATTTTCATAAGGAATCACAATGATTGACAACGAATCGAATGTTACAAGTACCGTTGAAGCATCAACACTCGGCAGTTTTCCCATTACCACTACAACTAGAATAATCACAACCACACTATCTTCTACTACTCCCTCTTCATCTCCAACATCTAGCACCACTCAAATTGGTAAGATCTTGTCTTTGTTTGTTAGCCAATATCAGTTCTACGACCCAACACCCTACCTCTATTGTAGTATAATTATGAAAATTGTGTTATGTGTAACTATAAAGTAGAAACTATTTACGTTTGGCTGGACAATTACTAATATTACATTTTTATATCAAACTTGTAAAACATCGTAAACATATTATTTTCTAGATCTGAATATTATCTTACCATGTACAATTATTGGAGGTGTGATGTTAATAGTTTTTATTGTGATATGCATGTAAGTATTTATACATTCCATTAGAGCTAATTAAATTATGTTATAATCTGTTTTAATCTGACTGGTTTTCTACGGGAAGCGCTACGGACTAAACCTTTACCTGATCTTCGATCTGTAGGCTATTTAGCACAGGCTTCACCTCGGTATTTTATGCATATAGTGCATATTAAAGGAAAAGAAATAGTATTGAGTAGGATTGGTTAATTTCATTCATAAATAAAAAGTGACTGGATGCATGTACCTCTTTCTACTATATTCTTAGGTTGTAGTGTATTGGTTGTGGGGTTGATACCTTTAACAATGTTTGTTGCCCGGAGTTGTACATTTTCGATGTTTCGTATGTCTTTTACATAGAAAGGATACCAGACTGCTGTTGCATATTCGAGAGTTGGTCAGATCTCAATCAGACTTGTAGATTGACTGTTTCAAGGGTTTATAATTTCTTTTTACCATATCAATCAACCTATTAGCTTTCATGTTGTTTATGTGGGAACTAAATTTAAGGTCTACTGGAATTTTAATCACACATCTTTTTCTTCATACGTTGGTTCAATTATTTGCATGAATTTACATTTTGTCAAGTGGAATTCCATCTGCCAAGTAATAGACAAGTTAGATTTTAATCCATTTGAGGTTACGTAATCTAGTTATTCTCTAAATGCTGGGTTGAGTTGGATCTATTCCCAACCGCTAATCAGAATAATATTTTCGGCTGTGAGGATTCTGTCGTACTTCTCTACTGTGGTTTTTGCTTTCCTACAATTCGTTAATTTCATTAAGAAACGGGTCCTATATGACACCCTTTGATAGGTTAAAAATAACATCATAAGAACGGACTGCGGTAGAAAACCTGTTAGATTACAATGGAGAGGACAAATATCATGAACGGAAGTGATATCAAATTTTAATCATATTTCATACCAATTTACCAATATAATAATGTATATACTGTAACTGGTCTGATATAAAACCAACACACGTCCTTATCGTGAATTGAAAACTAATCTTTCAGAGATAAGGGTAATCTCTCTGTTTCTCATTGTAGCAAATATTAGTCATTGTATGGATTTTTCCACTAAAAAACATAGTTTCTGCAATTTTGAATGAAATGCAACAATTTTTGAGCTGAAAATTTGAATCCTTATTTAGTCAAATTTTTATGGCTGTAATTTGTTGAATTATAGGTAAGCAACCATTATTGCTCCTCATCAGTTACCATATAATGGGTTGCCATATATTTCAATCATGCAACACACTTTAAAATAACCTGCTGTGTTAATTTCAGTTGCTACAAAAAAAGACAAAGATTAAAACAAAAAAATTCACCGCCAACTTTACCATCATTTGCAGTTCCTAAATTAAATGATATATCTAATGAATCACCCATTGATCACCAACAAGAAGAAGCTATCAAGCCAGTTCTACTACGAAACAGACATATTTCGAATACACCTGTTGCTGAAACAAGAGAAAGTATGGCAAGTGTAACAAGTGTATATAGTGATGGATATATAGTGCCAAGTTCTCCACCAAATAAAGAAATTCAGGATGATCCAGAGTATATTGATATGACACAGCCACAATATCTTCCCAAAGCCTGTGGTGTGGTTAATAAAGGGTATGTCAATGATCCTAGAAATCCACAGACTAATTTTTTTTCAATTCATGAGTTATCTTCCCATTATCAAAATACTGGGAATTCTGTGCCTGATATGAGACCAATAAAAACAGTGAGTGAATATGCAAATATTAAAAACGAGATAAGTGAATCCACAAAACGACCTTCTAGTGATATTTATGAAAATACAGACCAAATTTTAGAAGATCATCAATTGCTTGATTATGAAAATGCTCCTGCAAAAGTGACATCCAAAAATGAGAATATAAATGAAAGTTTAACCACAAACAATCTCACACCTGAGATTAAACCTAAAAAAACTCCCCCATCCCCTAGAACCAATCGCCCTCAACTATCTCTGCAAAATAACTCCCCAAAACCATCAGTTGGATCTCCACGCTCTCAATCTTCACCAAGAGGATCTCCACGCTCTCGATCTTCACCAAGAGGATCTCCAGCATCTAAAACACCAAGAACTTGCCCTGAAAAATACAGAGGTGTTAAAGTTATGTAAATAAGATTTATCTAATACATATGAAACTATACACATGTAGTATATCTTTAAAATGAATATTTTTCATCTGAAGATCTTTCTCTGCAGTCATCGTTCTTTTTTTTTACTAGATCAGATAATATCTAAAGGGACTGTAAAGAAGTTTTCAACATTGTGTATGAGTATAGGGGACAATGATAGCATCAATTTACACCATTCCAATTTTCAATCAGACATCTGTGCTTTTTACAATTTCATTTAAACTAAGCATTTTATAACGTCACTAATCTTGAAGATCTTTTGGCATATTTTGCCATTAGTGATGTCATCAAACACTTAATTTTAGTGGAATTGCAGGAACCAGGGTACACATAAAAAATTTAGAAAACCTTTTTACGATCCCTTAAATTTAGAGTGAGTCAAATTTGATTTAGTAACAACGGTTTAAGGGCAATATTGAGACAATTGGGATTTCAAAATTGTCATAATTTCAAAGGGATCTAACTATTAATCTGTAATTAATTGGGATTAATAATTAATCTTAAGTTACCTTATTCAGATGTACATACATGTATATATCAGTATAAGATATTTATTATATGTGAAATAAGTTTCATTATTTCTCATTCATTTGTACATACATGTATAATTCAATACAACTAATAAAGATATTAATTTTATGTTAAAAAAGTTTAATAATTTCCAATTCATTTGTACATTGATGTGTATACCACTATATAGATATTTATTTTATTAAATAAAGTTTAATAATCCTTTCACTTCATTTCCGACCACATAAATAATTTTGGGAGAATTTTTTAAAAAATTGTTTAACATTTCCTTTATGTACCTGAATCATCTATTTTCAGACTGATTCTTCTACTTCTTCTAAATTCTCAAAATCTGAAAGAAATTACATTTCAGACATCAAATGCCAAATTTACACCCAAAAATTTTGAGAGTTATTTCCCCTTTATCAAGAGTTACTTAAAAGTCTGCAATGCATGTTTATGTAAATATAAACAAGTGTATATACACAGAAATAAAATGAAACGAATGGAGTTTTACATCCTACTTTTCTGTGTATATACACAAAGAAGATTTATTACAGGAGCATTTGAAGTTTAAGGCCTTATAAGGTGTAAGAAAAAATGAGGATGTAATTCAAATCTTCTCAAAAGTAGACCACCGTTACTATATCTAATACAATCTGTTATACAGGAAAAATCATTTTAAGATTTTCATGCTCACATTGAAAGATAGGTTCCCTTATTTTCAATTATGAAAATGCTAATACTTATATGAATAGAAAGTAGAGGTGTTCTAATGACTTGGAAAAATACCAGTTTGTCTGACATGTCCACAATTAATTCATACTTGGCTAAATAAGAAGAGAATTACCAGCAAAATTCCAATGAGTGACCGATTAAGAAAGGTCAAAAAGTCTTTTTTGTTTATCCAGACTGTACATACATGGACATTTATGATTGATTAAAATTCTTAATTATATTCAATAAGAACATTATGAAATGATTAAGAATACATGATCATTCATTAGAAACACCAATTTATCAAAAAGTTTGCTTAATTTGACACTATAAAATAAGGAAACTCATCTTTAAGGGAATGTAAAGAGGTTTTTTATGTGATACAAGCATAATTTGCGATCAGTGATGTCATCAAACACCTTTTTTGTGGTGTTTGAAGCTATCAGTGTCCCTGATACAAATATATTTTTTTTCTAGAAAACCTCTTTACAATCCCTTTAACCATTGGGAGCAAAGCTTTCCTAGTTAATATTCCTAGTCCTGAAAAATACATGGCTTATTTATTAAAACTCCAATCTTCAATGAGATACCTAAATTCTTTGTTACAAAACAACACAACTGTTATTAGTTTAAAAAATCTACCCTGTAATTTAATGTCATTATGCAGATGGCATACTCAACTGACAGCACTCTTACTCAACAAGTTCTTTTTTTCTATCTATTGTCTGCCATATAATATCATTCTACAACAGACTGAAATTTTAATAAGATTGGCACCATTCTATTGTATATTCAACATTGATGAAATGATGGTAAAATCAGTCAACCATAAAAAACACGTGGACAGATAAATAGGATGATCAAATTTTCTGTAGTTTCTTTGTTTCAAGAGTTATACAATTTTTCTTTGTGTTTAAAATAAAATTGCAAGAGTCAATAAAATGACAAATATATCCAGTCCATAATGGCATGCACAAATAGTTCAATAATAATTAACAAACATTTGCTAATTACGTTTTGTCAATAATAATCAGAAATCAACTAAATATTCTTAAAATTTAACATTTTTCAATATGACCTGGTTTAATTCCATGAGAAGTGAGATTTCACACAATGAATTTGTTATTTGTCTGGTCAGACTGGCTAGACTAACAGCATGGTCAGATATTTAATAAACCTAGTTTCAAGTCAAATTGGACTTAGTGCCATCTTTATATTCTATTTACACAAGATTTCCAACTGTGTTTTCAACCTTAAGCTGCCATTAGACAGGATGCCAAGTGTGGGAGGATGTTCATTAAAGAAATGGTAAAAATTTAATGGCCATCAACTCTTGACCATAAAATTTTGTCCAATTAAATGCTATCTGTTTTGTTATGTTCATTATTTCTCAATTTCATGGTAAAAAAAAGTGTGAAGTTGCAAATGATACTATGGTCAGATAGAAAATCTGTGATCTCAACCACAATAAATAAGCATCATAACTCAATGTTGAATTATCGTTCCATGTATTTTTAGTTTATTGATGTATTTAAACTACCATTGTATGCATATCAATTGTCTGTATAGCCTGCATGATATCAGATCTAGCGTGTTTCCAAAACCCTTATGTAATACTGAAAATAAATATTTTTTAAACCTATGAAACTAGACTCCATACATTTTTAACTTTACAATAAATTTGATTGGAACCCTCAAGTGGTGTTGTAAACTCTGATAGTAATACCCATACCACCTGTTTTAGTGAAAGTGACACATATTGTATTGTCTCCTATCAGAAACAATGACAGCATAAAATATAAACAGTGATAGAAAAAGGTGGAATGTCAATTTCCTATGCATACAAGGGCCAGTTATAAAGAGAAAATACTAAATGTTTCAGCCATTCACAATAACATTAGCACACGTAAAATATGCATGTCTTGGAATTTGTAACTTGGAATTGAAGTATAAATAATTAAATAGTTGAAGAAAAGGACAAGAACTTAATGCCTACTTGTGTAGAATTACTGTCACATCTAATCAGCCATTTTATCTGTCTTTAAACAGATAGATTACATGTTGAAAGCAACACTCTTTTGTTGTTTATTGTTGTTGATTGTGAAGAATAACATACAGTGTTGGTGGTATAATAGTTCTAGATCACCTCACACCATTTCATTTCAATATTTGATGTAATTAAATAAGACTACTTGTCTAGCCATCTACCCAGGAAGTCTACTACATTAAATAGAACAATTTAGGTCCAGTTAATGAGGATACCATAAATAATCAACATTCAGTCAAATAACCAGGAACCAGCTGGACTATCAGGAAATCTTTATAGAGTTCCACAGTTCTCTTAGAACTTTCAATTAGTATTACATGAGTTCACTTGGAATTTCTTGCATCCATAAGATTTACTGCCTTTTCATAGCATAGGTCAAAGTCAATATTATTTTTTTCATCATGAACAGTTGAATGCCAATTGGTATTTGTCAATTGTCAGATTTTAATCTGATTCCCTACAGAATTTTTCTCAGCTAAAAAGTGATAAAAAAATTCTTAAGTTTTGATGAATATGTACTTGCAGGGATATAGATTAATAAATTGAATGAGTCATAGACAACTTGAGTTGACCTCTAAAATCAAGATTACTAGTCTTAGAAATTGTTTTTTGGAAGAAAGTTTTGAATGATTCTAATGAAAATCTATGTAGGAAATGAACGTACTGCAGAATATTTTGAACTCTGAATAAAATTGATGAAGCACAGAGTAGAGATATAAAGTGAAGCAGTTTACTAGCACCATGTAATAAAATAGCTAATAAAGTGACAGAGTAAACTATGATTACTATCACTGATTATACACTAACTTCTACCACTAAACTACTGTCTGATTACACCCTTCACTACTACCACCACATAAATAAAATAAATGACCCGAGCTCCACTGAAGACACAGTAAACTAAGTACCAACTATTTCATGTATGTTGTCTTCAGACTACTGATAGAATTATCAAAGATAAGTACCGACATTATTTGCATGATTGAGACAGATATGTAAATAAATATAACAATAATACATTCTAAACCATTCATAATTACACAAACTAGCATGCCTCTGATAATGACATGCAGTCCAATATTCCATAGGGGGAAAATGTTCAAATTGCTATGTTCCAGAGAATATATTGTTATAAATTCCCCAATTTTTTCATAAATGTGGAATTTCAATTCTGCTTATAGATAATGATATAATAATTTCAAAATATGCAATGCCTCTTTTAGGGTATAACCAAATTTGTGAAAAAACATCCCACACAGAGTAATGTATTGGTATATTTATACCACCATACTTTATACAACCTAAAAAAGAGGAATGTAGGCAGTGGAATTTGAAGTTTATTTAATAATATGTGACAGACAGCACCACAAGGAAGTCAAATACTATAATCTACTACCTAGTGAGACGGTAAATTGCCAGGTATCAAATGTATCCTTTTACCTACCAGGTGTTATAGTCATTATATTCAAGAATCTGATAAATGTTCACATCTGCTATCAAATTCTCCTTACTTCATATTCACCAAACACAAAGAATGTATTGTTTATATATGATAAACTATAGGTATTGACACCTTTCAGATCTCACTTGGTTTTCAATCACCTAATTCACAAACATACAATTCTTATAGCTTAAATAAAGTAAATAAATGTAGATAAATAAACAGAAATGTTTCTATTCTGACCTATTCCAGAACTGACAAAGTCAAATTTTAACTGAATATAACTTTTCTGAACTAGGAAACATACATATATACATTCAATTTTGATTTGACCACAGAAACAGCACAATGAATGATGGAAATTGAGGTTATCCAGGAACATAAAGCAATATTCCCATTAAATCATGAATATAAAGTAGAACTAAGAATTTGAATCAAATCAGATTCCTATCAGAAAGTAGCCAAAACTGCCACTACTCCTTTAAGTCAACTTTCTAAACCTCTAATTTTATTCTATCCAATCATATGTTACTAAGAACATTGAATAAAGGGTTAAATGCTATGAATAGGGAGAAAGTGAGATATAATATATGAGATATTAATTGATAGGGTTATAGAAGGTCAGTCTACCAGTTAATAATTAGATTTATCACTTTCTTTAACTATCCTTTCATCATCTAGTACTCATATTAATTAGTAGTGTTAAAAAATAAATCTATTAATTCTAACTAAACTAGTGTCCAAAAGAAACGATACCAACTTATTTTCAAAATTGCTTTTTACTAAGTGAATTGTCTAATATGAAAACATGCCAATTCGTATTGCACATCCCAAACACAGCATAGTCGATAAAAATACCGGGAACACGTGATCACTTCCGGGAAAAAACGTAAATTTCATGAAAGTGACATTTCCCTCTCTA